CCAAATAGGTTATGGTGCAGATTTGGGATTTCTGTGGGAAAAGCAAGTCTTATGGCTTGACTGGTGCGTAGATTTTGTGTTTAACATTGTATTAACTATCCACAGATTTCAGGAAGGGGGTTTCAATCACAATTTTTTCCCCACCATAACCTATTTGGAGAAAATAAATATATATATATATATATAAAAAACAGAGCAAATTTGTATCTTGTAATACTTTTTTATTGGACTAATACAATACAATCTATACTTGAACACTATATCTCTCTCTCTCTCTATATAGCACCCTATATTTCAGACGCAGGAGCTCCCAAAAGTTGACCGGCCAAAGCACCAAATGCCCTGGAACTGTTTTGGGCATGGGACCACCAGTATGGTCGGAACTTTAACACGGTGGCATTTCCCCTACAGCGCATGCATCTGAGCTCTATTTGGAGTACTTGAGCGCACAGCTCAGGGCTGTTTGGGGATGTATTATTTGTGGGGCTATTTTATGTTTTTATGATGTTTTAGGGTATTTTTATGTTTTATATTTTTTTGTTTGTATCGCTGTTCCTTGGAGGTAATTAGCTTACCGGTCTTCAATGCAATTATCTCCCAGGCACAGAGATTTATGGGAGGGGCATGACTTGCATTGAATGGAGACTCCATGCTAGGGGCTGTGTATAAACTCAGGCAACTTGGCCATAATAAAGGAGTTCCTTTTCACCCTTCACTCAGTCTCAGCTAGTGTTTGGGTGTACAAGCTACACAGCTATACTCTCTGCAGGAGTGCTTTAAATCACTAGAAGCTGGATCCAGGATCCAGCCAAGCTGCAGCAGCTAGGGGCCAAAGTGCTAATGGTGTCCCGGCGATAGCTAGGGAGCATGTTTAGTGGAGGTAACCAGTCTGGGTACCAGGTGATCCGCCACAGCTACAATTTCTTAAAATACATAAAAATTTACCCTTGGTAATGTTGTGTAACCAAAGTCCATAGTGACAGCTATTAGTTCCTATAAAGCTGTTCAAATTGACCCTTTTAAAGAAAAGTCCTAGTCTTAATGCCACAATCCTTAATATACAATTCCAAATATAAAAAAAATTTACCTTGGTACCACTACACTCACAAGTAACAACAATATTCCTCTGGTTTTGATTTACAAATATTTAAAAACTATCAAGAGATAGTTTTCCAAAATGTACCTTTCCAAATAAAAAAATATATTGTCAATGTATCTGCTATAGTGGACCAGATCCACCCTCCATCTAAGGTCACCTGAAAGGAAAGATTCATCCCAGTGGTACATAAAAAGATTTGCATAGCTGGGTGCAAACCTAGTCCCCATCGTGGTACCGACTAATTGCCAAAAATAGGACTCCATTAACCAAAAATAATAATGACATAAAATACATCTGATAGTCTCCAAAATAAAATTAATTTGAGTATCCGAGAAACTGCTCTGTTGGAGAAAATGTCCCACTGCCTCACAACTTAACTGGTGGGAAAATAATGGTGTAGAGGCTACCAACATCACAGGTTATCAGGGAACAATCTTCCCCCCAGAGGACCCCAATAATTCTTGAATAAGTTGGGTGGAGTGTTTGAGGTAAGTGGGTTGAGACACAACAAGAGGTTTTAGTAGGCTATGTATTCGGACAAACAACTTATCTAGAAAATCCACCCCGGCTACTATGGGTCTCCCGGGAGGGATCTTAGGAAGGATATAAAAAAACAGGGCCCTTAAAAATAGATACATTTAAATATTGATACTTATCAGAACTAAACATATCAAAATGTTTACCTTTGTCTATAAAAAATGTATAATTTAGATTAATCTTTGACTAATTTCTTATAGTGACTGGGTTTTCTAACTGACTATATATTTCACTGATATACAGTATATACTTGAGTATAAGTCTAGTTTTTCAGCACATTTTTTGTGCTTAAAAACCCCCACTCGACTTATACTCGAGTCACTGTCTGTATTATGGCAACTTAGAGAGCCGCGGCCGTCAGTCATGGCAACGATCCGCACGGCAACTAGACCGCAAGACTTACAGTGGAGCTGACCGGAGCGGAGGAGAAGGGAGCTGACAGGAAAGGTAAGTAAATGCTTCCTGCCGGCCCCCCCACTTCACAGCCCATGACACTGGACCACCAGGGATTAAGATAGCCCCCCTCCCTGACCAGTTAACAAGCAGGGAGGGGGGACAAAAAAAAATTAAAATACAAAAATATTAAAATTTAAAAAAAAAATTCAAATAATAAAAATGCCCTCCCCCCACCCAGTTCACACACACTACACAAACACACACTCTGCATTATATACACAGAGTGTGTATATATAATGCAGAGTGTGTGTTTGTATGAGTGTTTGTATATATAATGCAGAGTGTGTTTGTATGAGTGTGTGTGTGTATATAATTATAAAAATCACAGAATTTCATAGCCCCAAGTTTTACCCTCGACTTATCCACGAGGCATAGCATATTTCACAATTGTTGGTCACAAAACTGCACTCGACTTATACATGAGATCGACTTATACACGAGTATATACGGTAGTTTACTTTATTTTGGATTACAACTGCTCTCCATTTATCTGCCGGTTTTATGACCAAACTCATCTTTTTTTAGTTCATCTAGGGCCTTCCTATGGGGATAATTTCAATTGGCATTCTTATGCCCTCTAGTCTTGGGCGTGATTTTTTAAATCTCATCAATAACCAAAGACTCAGTTTTATAACCCCACTTGTTTAATTTTTGGGAAAGAATTTGGGCTTATTTTTTTTTTTAACAAACATCCCCCTCAAAATGGGGGATGTTTGTTAGATCTTCATAAATTCATCCACTTTTTTTTTTTTTTTTTTAAATCCCATGGAAACCAGTGCACCGCCATGCAATCCCAGTAGTTGCTCCGGCGCTGGTTCCATTTTGTTTTAAATATGTTTATTTGTTTCATAACATATTCCAATGCAAATGTATAACAAGTTAAAGCGGGTTAGTGCCTGCGCAGAGGCCTGATTTTCATTGCATGAATGAATATATAAATCGTTGCCTGCGCAGAGGCTCAATCATGTCTATTGTTCTACAGCGTTTAATATAATATCACAGTTAAGCGTGTTTTTATTATCTTTCTTTTGAAGGCATTGTTCGAACTTTGCAGTATCTAATAATCATTTAACATTGAATGATAACATATAGTTATGTTCTTGCTGCCTGGCCTGATTCTCGTCTGTCTGTCTTGCATATTTATAGCCAAATAAATTATAGGAATATGTAAGCATGTAAACGTGTAAATGCTCATTTAAATAAAGTAATTAACTTACAAGACGTGGTCAGATATAGATTGCTGCTAAAAGTGCAGTACGGTTATATAATCAACCATCCTTTATAAAATGCTGCAGTCTTGTATATTAAACACGCATTAACTTTACGAGGATTTATGTTTCGTAACTTAAAGCGGGCATGAGAATACCGCGTTTAAACGCGGTGTCCCAGCTGCTATATCCATTTAAGGGCAATCAACATCTCTTATCTAGCCCCTTTCTCTGGAACGGTTGTTGAAGCAAGTTCTTGCATCATGAATAAATAACATAACATATGTTTTGTCTGCGTGTGTTACAAATATAAGATTAACTAAGAATTTGTGACCTTAAACTTAAGCTCATATGGGCACTGCTGCATGGACAGTGTATGCAATACTAGTAAAATATATTAAGCAGGCAACATTATAGCATGAACATAGTACTGAGGCTTTTTAGTCCTCAAGAACCATCACGCATAAGAAAGGAGCAACGTAGATAAGACATGATGCTGCATAATGTACAGCTTTATATGGTGAACAAACAAAAAAAAAAAAAAAAATAATAAATTTACTGCGTGTGTAGCATTGTGTCCAGATCTGAAGGCCGCGTGGCCTAACGGATCTGTGTGTCCTGGCTGGCTGAATGAGGGTAGTGTTAGGTTCACCCTTTTTCCTCTTGTTCCATAAGTGGTGTCTGTGTGCTCTGTGAACTTACAGGAAGGATCGCATAGAGTTTTTCCCCGCATTGGCCGAGGGGCACTCAGTGTTGCAAGGTCTCCTCGGGTGTTCGGCCCCCAGCCGGTCCCCCCGTTCCGCCAAGGCCACCCCCGCAGGCACCGTGGCTCAGTGGGCACTCGGGGACAACATGTGCTACTGCGGGCCCCCCCAGAGTCCGCCGGCCCTGTGTTCCCTGCATGTCCCCTGATCCTTCGATACCCCCACGGGTACATGGGGTGCCCTGAATGTCTCACCCAGTACCGGCCACTTCTGCAAGATAGTAGGCGCACGGCCCCTCAGCCACCGGTCCGCTGGAGGCACATGCCGCCCAAACCCGCCAGGCTCGCAGCAGTGGGGACAATCTCCTCCGGGTGCCCACCCCACCCTGAGGTCAGGCAGCCATGTTATCGGCTCGTGAGCAGTCCAGGAAGTCCGCCTGTGGTCCAGTCCACCTCGGGATTAAAGGTATGTGTTGAAGTGTCCCTCAGCATACTGGTCTGCGTCTCCTTGGTCCTGTTGTCGGGCGGGTCTCATTTTGGCAGCCTTTGCCAGTGTAGGGGGATCGGTGTAGACCCAAGTAGGAGGCTTCCGTCTTGGTGTGCGCCGTCCCCATGTGGCCGGGATTACCCCCACCGGCCGGGGGGGGGAGCGGGGCCATTTCTCTCATCCTTGTGGCCCTCTTCTGGGGCTAATGTTGCTGGCATGCGTTCCTACCCGAGTAAGTTGCCGGCCGCTGATTCTGGGTCATATGCTGTCGATGTCCCGGCTTGTGCAGGCAAGTAGGCCTGGTGCCTCAGCTTCGATGTTTCAGACCTGTTTTTGGCCTTTGTCTGGTATCAGATTGGAGCTGAAGTGCTTCTCCATTTCAGCACATTGGAATATTTGACTCCAGAACAGTATATGTGCGGATTTAGTGCCGTTATTCGGGCCGCAGGCCTGGAGCCATGTTGACCTGCTTCCAGTTGGCTCAGCAGCCTGGCCCCGCCCCCTCCACATTTTTTTTTTTAACAAACATCCCCCTCAAGATGTACAGCCCACTACTTTTATCCATATGAAAGTTAAAAAAGTTTCATATGGATAAAAGTAGTGGGCTGTACATCTTGAGGGGGATGTTTGTTAAAAAAAAGGTGGATGAATTTATGAAGATCAATAAACTTCTTAAAAGGATCATTAAAACATATGGGAACAAATTTTAAGCCCAGTGGCGCTATACCCTCCTGAAGATGGGTTTCTACTGCCTGTGGTCGCCCCTTCCTAGTTGTGATAGCTCCAGAGTGATTATAGCTGCTGAGTAGTGATTATGGTTATTGCTAAAAGGGTAACCGCAGTATCAACCAAACACAAGCCAAGGCTTAGTGAAAGGTGAAGAAGAACTGTTTATTCCCAGTCAAATGGCTCACATTTATACAGAATCTGGTACAGTAGACATTCCCCAAAACACACCCATAAACACACCCACAAAATGTCCACAAAATGCATTGTCATTGTGACTCAGCAAAAACAGTAACAGATATGAAAAACCATAAAAACACATTTTCTATACATCCCTGGATAGCCTGGATCTGAGCGCCCAACATATCCAAAAAGCGCTCAGATTCCACAAACAGAGCCAGACGCCACCGTGTGAAAGTTCTGACCGACCACACACATGGTCCTATGCCCAAAACAGTTCCAGGGCGTTTTGTGCTTTTGGCCGGTCAACTTCGGGAGTTCCATGTGAACGAAATACCTAACGCACACTCTGGCTGATTGGTAGCGTTTGCTCGTATGGTTCATACGAACAAACGTACTGAATGGCGCTCTCCTGACATATGTGGGGAAGCAGCAGGCGTTCATCAGTGTCTAATTTTAGTTCCACGCGGTCAACGCACAAACACCACTGCCTGCATTCTCGCGAACAAGATGGCCACCAACAAGATGGCCGCCAACGTGCATACGAACGGCGGCCACCCAACTGCACAATTAGGACCCACAGAGGTGGTCCGCAGTTCATGGGCTGGTTCGGTTCCCTAACAGTCCAATGGAATCCCACAAACCAATGTCTTTTAATAGTTTTTTAGCAGGCCCATAATCCTGAGGCAGAAGGCTAGCAAGCTGTTGATGGCTAGTTCGCCACAAGCCCCTATTTAGCACCCTAACTTGTACTTTGGTAAGGGTCTTGTTTGATAAATTAAACACTCCTATAGGTTCGTTTTTCCCCTCTTTCTCCCCTCTAAGAGGACGCATGGCTCGGATTCCGCTTCTCCCCATTCCCACACCCTTTTTAGAGAGGTTCTGTGGGTCAGAGACGAAGGGTTCCGGTCTAGGAAAGATGAAGAACCAGAGGGCAAAGACGAATCCAAACCATGATCAAACTTTCCTGGAAATTTCATAGGTAGAGTTTTAAATCTATAAGAATGTTCAAATGAAAATGTAGGATGAATAATTTTTTTATTTTTTACCAGTCTCAGCCTGTTTCCAACTCGGAGAAAAAGTACCTGATTTAAAGGGCACAGAATTATTATTCATACTAGGTTTCCTTTTTTCTCCTGTAAACAACCTTAAAGAATTATGTAAAATTGAAAGCAAATTGATTTTTACTCTAGATCCTCTAGCCCCCAAAGGGTTATATTTAGATTTTGAATTAATCAATTTTTTTGAAAAAAAATTAAAATGTGTTTTATATTTTTTTTACATCTCATTTTGATATGTATATTTTTTTTTTTTTACTATTGTAATTTTTTTTATATTTCCTATTCTTTCATAATAAAATATTTTCATATACTGTTTCTTTAAGGTTAGCCTCATCACAGTTATTGCATAAACCATTGCGTATATCGATATACTCATGGTCACATTAACTATGCTTGTCTTTTAGAATGTTGTTTTTATTTAATCCTTTTTTATGTAGGTTTGGGTTATACTGTGGTCACAATTTTTATTTCATCAAATCAAGTTTGTATTGTCATTTTAGGCGGACTATTTGCCCTTACTCAAGATAAGATTCTTTACTATCTGCCCTCACTCTCCTGGCATTACGAACCAGGAACTGACGCGGCCTGTGGCCGCGTCATGTGATAAAACGTTTTCTGGATGCGACACTCTAACGCATATGTGTTACGCTGGAAATAGGAAGAGGTGCAGTTGTGCCGGCTTGAGTCATGATTCTGACTGTATATATTTGGATTACGGATAGGACACCACACTGAGTAAGACTCAAGGAGGAATTGAAATGTGTTTTTATATATTTTGTCACTGCGCATTTGTCCCTTTACTTTTACTATTGAATAAAGTTTATGTATATACCTTATGGAAGTCTCCTGCTATTCTCCTTCAAGGATATCGTGTTAGCCTTTCTAAGGCACCCTGGAGCTTTTATATAGAGCCATATGCACTATGTATTTTATCTACATTCTTAGTAGTATAGTAGTAATGTAATATTTTTTTTTTTTTTTTTTAGTGCTAGGGAATACATTTATATTACACCTATTGGTTTCATCTCTAGTTGGAAGCACCTGCACACCATTGCACTTTTGTATTTTTGATTTGATTGTCCACGTACAATAGAATATTTTAAGAAACCTACTTTTGTAGCAAGCAAATATAGAAATATGTTTTTTACGCACTTGTGGAATGCCCTTCAGGTTCATTCTTCTCTTTTGATTTAATGGACCTGTATTGAAAAATAGACTATCACTTGGTGATTCTTCTGAGTCTGAAGAGTCTTCACCTTCTTGGCAACTATTGATTGAGCCCAGCGATTTTGTGTTTTTTACATTTCTCGGTAAAGTCTGAAGAAAAAAAACAAAAAAAGCAAAAGCCAAAAATAGATTAAAAACGTTAGACCTAAGATATTTCACAGGATGAGGCAATGAAAATTACAATCAGCAGATTTTGTATATTTTTCTTTGTATGTGCCTCTAGATAAATGCAGGATACATACATTTAGAATACACACACACATATAGACACTATATATAGACATGCTTAAACATGAATTAATTCATGTGATGAAAACCTGCTTGCTTTAATTCATGTGATGAAAACCTGCTTGCTTTAATTCATGTGATGAAAACCTGCTTGCTTTAATTCATGTGATGAAAACCTGCTTGCTTTAATTCATGTGATGAAAACCTACTTACCAGGCCACTTGCTGCCACACCTCTAACAGAAATTCTGAGCATGAGTCAGATGATGCCATGCTTGCCTGCTCCAAGCCTGGAGGCACCTCTGCTTCCAGGGGTGCTGCACAAATGCTAGCTTTGCCCTCAATATAATTCAAACGTTACCGGTGTCTCCAGGATTCTGCTCCTTGCACTAGAAAGCCATCCCACCACTTGCCACCAATGTAACGGATCACCTGGCACCGCGACTGGGTACCTCAGTTGATGGATGCTTCCTAGCTGATGCCGAGGACTATAAGCACCACACACCACAACCACCGCAGACTCCACAACCACCATAGCTTAACTGGAATTTCTCCGTCTTCCTTCCACCCTGGATCAACCTATGACATCCAGGACCGTGTGGGAGAGACCTCTCCTCCAGGAGAGGGTAACAGCTCTTAAAAGAGCTAAGTGATTAGAGCCCAGGGGAGTATACAAAGTATAGCAATCCCCAGTGTGATCATAGCAGTTCCCCTTCCAATCACGAGACAAGACGTATTGAGGGTCAAACAGGAACTGCAGATCTGAGGGTTTATTGAACAGCTTGGTCTTTTATACAGTTTTCCCCACAAGGTTACCACCCAGGTGGACCTTGTGGGGCACAGGAACAATAAGCCAATAAAAACATAGTTTTACATTCAGTCACTCCCATACAGTGTCCATGATCCCTCCCCTCTGCCTGTGATATAATTAACGAAGACAATGGACTAACTCATTTAACTCTAAGCAGAAAAAAAACATTTTTACAAACCCCAAAAAGAACCCCAAAATACAACATATCCCCACATCCTCTGATAGCTCCGATCTGGGTGAACAACATATCCAAAAATCACCGAGATCAGAGCAGGGGTTCAGGAATTTCCTTGAAGTCCTATTTTTGCCCCACCGTGCACATGGTCCCATGCCCAAAACCGTTCCATTAACTTGACGACAAAACACTGCTGGACAATTTAAGATGGCCGGCACCACATGTTTGAATCTGTTCCAGTTAAAAGTCCAAGGGGCAAAAACAGTACTGTGACGGTCTAAGTAGCTATCACCATCAAGCATTCCCCTATACCATGAAATAATATCGCCAGTAATCCCAAGGTTACAATATCGCTGGTGTTGCATAATAATCTACAAAGGAGCCAAAGCTTAATGCTGGAACAAGACAAGACTTGTTTAATGGCAAGCAAGGGCATCCAATTTATACAACACATAACTCCTCCTCTGAGCCAGTGAGGTAATGGAGTTTAGGAAACATACTAAACTCAATTATCTGCTGGCCAGGAAAGTTTACATTTTCAAATTTTTCCAAAATACCCCAAAAATACATAAAACCCCCACAAAAATATATCCATATCCCTGGATATCTGAACTCGATGGGAGAAACATATTAAAAATTCAGCCCAATCCGCTCAGTGGTTTTCGAACGGCACCATGTGGAAGGTTGACCGGTCTGCCACCAGGTTGAATCGGAAAAAGAGTTCCAGAGAATTTGTAGCAAGAGCCGGTCTCCATTCGCGTGGATTCATACGAAAACCGCAATAGATGAAATACAGCTGGTTCGTGTAGAATGCTCCTGTTAGTCTGTTTCAAACTCCGGAACGCGGTTAGTCTACCTTACTGGGAAATAGGACGTAGGGGACTTCCATGTAGACCGAGGTTGGTGCGAGTGCCATGCCCAAAACAGTTCCAGGCACTCGACGACCAAGTCCCACTGGCTGCGTTTGGGAGACAAGATGGCCGCCGACCTTTGTTCTCACCACGTGCTTTCGTATGCACGAAATGGCAGCCACCAAGGAGTATTCAATTAGTCTGTGGTTTTCATATTGCTACACAGTGTTCCACGTTCTAATTAGATCTCAGGGTGGTCTCCGTTCGGTAAAACGATGATTTTCCGAACGGACGAAAAAAATAAAACGAAACAAGGGAAGTATATAGCAGGGAGTGGAAATAACTGAATGGTGCTGGGAATTCCTTCACAGGGGCCATAGTCCCAGGGTAGGAGGCTGGCAAATAGACCCCTCCAAAAACCAGTGGCGAAGTTGCTTTCGTCACAACTTGGTTCTAAGCCATTCACAACATTAAAAACAGCCACAGATACTTTTTCCAGAACTTTTACCAATAGTGATGCACCGAACGGGTCGCCGGCGAACATAGCGTGTTCGCGTCTGCCGCGGACGGCGAACACATGCGCGGTTCGATCCGCCCCCTATTCGTCATCATTGAGTAAACTTTGACCCTTTACCTCACAGTCAGCAGATACATTCCAGCCAATTAGCAGCACACCCTCCCTAGCAGACCCTCTCACCTACTGGACAGCATCCATTTTATATTCATTCTCAAGCTGCATGCTTAGTGAGAGGAGGGAAAGTGTAGCTGCTGTTGATTAGATAGGGAAATGCATAGCTAGGTAGGGTATACAGTGTCCACTACAGTCCAGAAGGTCTCATCTGATCTCTGCTGTAAGGACAGCACGCCAAAAAGCCCTTTTTTAGGGCTATAACATCAGTCTGCTATTTTTTTTTTTTTTGTGTAATGTAATTGCAGTTAGTTGTCTGCCACTGCTGCCAGCTTCTGTGTCAGGCTCACAGTGGATACTGTTCCCATTTGCCCAGTCAGTGCCACCACTCATATCTGGTGTCACAATAGCTTGCATTTAAAAACAAAAAACTTTTTTCACTGTTATAGATTGAATATAAAAGTGGCCGGAGAGAAATATTTCCCACAATCAGAACAAAAATAAGGTTTCTCTCCTGTATGGCTCCTCAAATGATGCTTAAGATTAGAAGCGGCTGAAAAGCATTTCTCACACTCAGAACAAAAATATATATTTTTTAACATTCTCTCCACTTTGAACGAAATGACGTTTGGGAAGAGATTTTGTATGAGTAGGTTTTTCATGTACGATACGGGAACATGATTTAGATCCTTGGTAAGTTTTGCGAGATCCAATAGTGTGTATGTAGGGGGAACAGTCAATCCATATCTGCCAAGTGACCCTATGTAGGAGGAACAGTCTCTATTCTGCTCTGTGTCAGTGTGTATCAGGGGCTCTGAGGACAGGTGTCAATCCATATCTGCCAATTGACCCTATGTAGGGGGAACAGTCTCTATTCTGCCCTGATGTCAGCTCTTGCGCTGGGATAGCCGGCAGAATGTCAAGCTCTGTACAAGGGTCAAAGGGAGGGCAGAGGCCAACTGCACTCTGCCCAGCTGCCAGCTCTTCCACTGGTATAGGCTGCAGGACATCAGGCTCTGGACAAGGGACACAGGGAGGGCAGAGGCCGACTGCACTCTGCCCAGCTGTCAGCTCTTCTGCTGGGAACATAGTCCAGCCTCCCTGTAGGTCGGGCACGGAGACCATGGTCCCCTCTGCGCCATCTGGGAGATTGGTGTCTCCCCTTGGTAGGGTAAGCTGCCGCTGGGGAGATAGGATGCTGTGCTCCTCTCCCTGAAACACAGTCTGCCGCTGGAGAGGGAGACCGCCTGTCTCCACTCCCATAACATTGTCCTGCTGCTGGAGAGAGAGACCAACTGTCTCTGCTCCCGGTAGGACACACTGCTGCTGGGATGGATGGACAACACCTTCGGCCCCCTGGAATTCACACTGCCGCTGGGGAGGAAGGGCGACACCTTCGGCTCCCTGTAACTTGCACTGCTGCTGGGGAGAGAGACCGGTTGTCTCTTCTCTCTTGTCAACACACTGCCGCTGGGGAGTCAGAGCTACTGTCTCAACTCCCAGTGATGATGGTTGTTGCAGGGACAAGGGATCGACAATCTCCTCTCTCTGAGATGCTGTCTGCCGCTGGGGAGAGAGATCAATTGGCCACAGCCCCAATCTCCGCAATCAGAGCTCAAATTCCCATGCCGCTCGATTCTCCTCATCCAACTTGCGCATGGTTGCCAGGATCGTCTCTAACGAGGGATCCAGGCCATACCTGGTTAACCGCCTCTTTGCCTCCTCCCTGTAAGCGGCACCCTTAAAGCGATAGGTCATGTTTGCTGTGACCAGGGACGCTGTACGAATACTAGCGTTGCCCTCAAATTGTAATTCCAAATGTTACCGGTGCCTCTGCGCTGCTTCTCCTCGCACTAGGATGCCATCCCACCGCTGCCACCACTGTGACGGAACCGCTGGCACCCCGACCGGGTACCTTCCGCCGACGGATGCTCTTAGTGCTTTCCGAGGACTCCAAGCACTCTGCCCGACACCATAACCACTGCAGACCCCACGAACCGCCGCAGCTTGGTTGGGGTCTCGCCGTCTCCACCCACTCTGGACCCAAGACCAGGGTCCAGCTTCCAGTAGGTCGACCTCTCCAAATTCCACAGAGCAGGAACAGGAACAAGCTCTTAGCAGAGCTTAGTGATTATACCCTGGGGAGTATAGTGGTTATAGCAATCCCCAGAGTGTAGTTTCTCCAATCCCCCAAACATGAGCCAAAACTGCATGAAGGTACAAGATGATCTGAACCTTTAATGGCACATACTCTGCTTTTATGCAATGCTCCCCTGCAAGGGAGACGCCCACAGACAATTATACATTACCCAATCACACAATGGTTACATCCCACACATCTCTTCCCCTTAGCCTAAGTAACCCAATCATTAATACATTTTAAAACACACTTTTTACCCAACTTTCATAACTAAAACCATACATCCAATATTAATAAACGTCACATATTATTAATCAGCACATCCCAAATACAAACATATCCCAAAATCATGCAAATCCTTCCATTAGTTCAAAAGTTAGTTAGAAGTCCTTTGTGACCAAAGGAAGCATGGCTTTTCCTGCCCAAACCAGTTCCCACTGGTCTGGCAGTGTCCCTGGGACAACTCCCTGCTGGAGAACAATAGACAGGAAACGGGGGAGGGGAAGAAACACACCTTCCCATGGATTCCAATGGGAAGAAACTGTCTTTAGAAGCCAATAAGCCCCAAATAGTCTTTTTAAATGGCAATACACCCCAGGGCCATAGTCATGAGGAAGGAGGCTGGCAATCAGGCTCCTCCAAAAGCCGGGGGCAAAGGGCAGCTTGTCACCTAACAATCCAGGGACAAAAGGCATTTCGTCACAAGGGGCTCTGAGGACAAGTGTCAATCCATATCTGCCAAGTGACCCTATGTAGGAGGAACAGTCTCTATTTTGCTCTGTGTCAGTGTGTATCAGGGGCTCTGAGGACAGGTGTCAATCCATATGTCAAGGTGTCAATATGTCATATGTCAGGTGTCAATCCATATTCATTGTGATTTAGGAATGTTAGGTGATTTCTGCCCTTTATGGATTAAGACCAGACTCTTCATCAACTGTGTAATTTTCCATGGGAGTTTTGCCATGGATCCCCCTCCGGCATTCCACAGTCCAGGTGTTAGTCCCCTTGAAACAACTTTTCCATCCCTGTTGTGGCCAGAAAGAGTCCCTGTGTGTTTTAAAATTCGCCTGCCCATTGAAGTCTATGGCGGTTCGCGAACATTTGCGGAAGTTCGCGTTCGCCGTTCGCGAACCGAAAATTGTGTTCGCGACATCACCATTTACCAATATTAACTCTGCGAAAAATATATATCATGTTGAACAGTCAAGCTTGAAGGGACACTATAGTGTCAGAAAAAACATGTGTAGGTGCACTGTGCCAATCAGCATCAGACTATGAACACCAGTGTTGTGCAGCACTGACACAGAAAGCTGCTCTAGCAGTCACCTAAGTGACTGGCACTATTGGTTTAACTAGCCATCAATGCAAACACTGCCTTTTCTATAATAAGGCAGTGCTTAAAGTGCTAAGGCTACAGGGACATGCTATAGAACCACAACCACTACATTAAGCTTTAGTGGTCCTGGTGACATAAACATTCCTTTAAGTGATTAATTATTATCATTAATGGAACCTTTGTTCATTTAGTAAATTGAAGACCTAAAGGGACTTGATAAATTACAGAAAACACTTTTCCAACAATTAAAGGAGCACTATAGTGCCAGGAAAACAAGCCCGTTTTCCTGGCTTTTTAGGTCCCACCCGCCCCCTTCATGCTGGACTGAAGGGGTGAAAACCCCTTCAGCCACTTACCTTAATCCAGCGCCAGGCCAGAGCCACATGAGCATCCAAACCGCCCATAGGAAAGCATTACTCAATTTTTGCATTGAGGATCGCAGAAGCTGGATTAACCCTCAGTGTAAACATAGCAGTTTCTCTGATACTGCTATGTTTACAGCTGCAGGGTTAAAACTAGGGCGACCTGGCACCCAGACCACTTCATTGAGCTGAAGTGGTCTGGGTGGCTATAGTGGTCCTTTAACTATTTTCAGCAATTAACTGGAATGCACCTATTGTTTGAGCAAAGCTAACACAACAAACACCTCCCTTGAGTTGAAGACATGTAGAAGTATTATTACCAAGCTCATGCTAACAATTCATCATTAATTAATTAAGGCAAATAAAGGACAAATAAGCTCTGTAGCAAAATTAATAACAGCAAATATACACATGAGGCAAATATCTGATTTGACAATGCCTAAAAATTATACATGCATGTCTATGTAGAACACAACATGTTAATGACACATAACATTTGGGGGATGGACAATGGTATGTGCATCCTTCTTATATATTTTATTAGTACACCCCACATGACAACCATGGGTGGAAGCTGCAGTGAGACACTAGTCCCCCCATATTAAAATTAGAGCCCCCACCAGTTTACTAGTTTTTAAAGTTTAGTAGATTTGCACCTGGCAGATGGGAACATAGGGAGGTTAACACCTCCCCCCGATCGTAAAATGGGGGTCATATTGACTCCCATAGGTTGTTGTTTTTTTTACTTTAATGTAGCAGCTTGCTTGCATAGGATGGCCAGCCACCAATGATTAACCCCCATGCTTTTGAGAGTTTTTAAAACTATTTGCCCACTGGCTGCTAGCATTGCAAAAAGCAAGCAAACAATCTGCAAACGTGCATCAGCCAGATGCATTTAGTTGCGAAGTTTGTTAAATAGCTGATGCTTGAATATGCCGAATCCTACACTTACTGTATAGGTTTCAGATGAAAAAGCACCGATTTTAATCTGGAATGCATCTGGCTGATTGGTGCAGAACTGGTTGCAGTGACCAAATTCAGACTGGATGAGAAATGCCATTCCTGGCAGAATTCGTCTAATCTTACAGGTATTTTGATTGGTTCCTGATATTTGACTATGAACTAATCAGACAAACAAATGTACCTGATCTAGAAAAACTCCATCCTTAGACAATCTTCTAAGCTTGCATTCTAAGTTCACAATCCGTGCTTCCTTCCGGACCATCTCAATTCTAAGTTCATCGTTCCTCTCCTCCAACTCTCGTATTTGTTTCCTATATTTGTCTTTGTCTATTAGGCACTGCGAATATTGTGTTTGAGCTTCATCACGGGAACGGTATGCCTTTAAACAAAATATGATACAATGAATTGTAGCAAATATACATTAAAAATACTAGTGTTAATTGTTCATTTAAATATTTTTAGAATTTAAAACATACCACATGTCAATTTTAACCCTCAGTGGTTATAACTACTTCCAGGTTACATTATATTTATTTTTTTCACTAAACAGTAAATAATTAAAAACAAAAATTCAAAATTCAGGCTAAAAACAATCAAGCTGTGACTATAGTAGAGTTCAAATTTTTTTTTCAAAACAACTATTTTGTCTTAAATTTTGCAATAAAGTCTTGAATTGCACTACAGTTGCAATAGTTTTAAGCCCTCAAGGACACATGACATGTGTGACATGTCAGGATTTCCTTTTATTCCAAAAGTTTGGTCCTTAAGGGGTTAAAATAACGATTAATAAGAACTTTTGCTGCCAATGGGAAATGTTTGCTATTTTATTGCTCTAAAAAAAAATGCCGTGCATGGCACTAGTGCCGTAGGATGCCTACCCCTGCCCTAGGCTAATCTCTCTCTAATTTATGTTTTCATCTTTCAAGTAAATCCATAACCCCTAACAGCAGTGTCCAGTCAAGCAGGAAGGTAAAAGGGTGTGCCATTGACACAAATCACGTAACCTGCCAAAAGGGGCGAGCATGCCCAAAAAGAGGACAAGTCTGCCCAAAGAATTAGAAGGCCAGCCTGGCATGAATGCATGTCAGGCTGCCTGCCAATCATGCAGCTGGCCAACTAAGGGCATAGTATGCAGACAGCACCTTGAGCTTGGCATAAATGCATCTAATGATGCGCTCACTCAACGCATTCTAAGGACTGTCCCCTAGCACTCGCTAGTCCACTTGTCTCCTTACCTTCTTACTAGCAGGCAGAAGCTCCTGGTATATAGTCTGGGACAGAGAAAAGCTGTATGTAGTGAGTGTAGAAGAAAGGGAACATGCCACAGTGTTAGAGAGACCAAAGTCATCATTACCTTAAAGGATCACTATAGGGTCAGGATCACAAACATGAATTTGTGACCCTACAGTGTTAACACCACCATCTAGCCCCCTGGGCCCCTCTTGCCTCCATAAATATAGCAAAATCTTACTATATTCAAGCCTGAAGCTGTAACTCTGCATGCTGTTAGACTTATAAAAACAAGCAGTGGCCTGATCCAATCACAGTGCTTCCCCATAGGATTGGCTGAGACTGACAAAGAGGCAGATCAGGGGCAGAGCCAGCACAATTCAAACACAGCCCTGGCCAATCAGCATCTCCTTATGGAGATGAATTGAATTAATGAATCTCTATGAGGAAAGTTCAGTGTCTGCATGCAGAGGGAGGAGACACTGAATGTTGGATGCATTTTAGGCAGCCATGACCCAGGAAGGGCGATCTAAGGAGTGGCCAGTGAAGTTATCACTAGGATGTAATGTAAACACAGCATTTTCTCTGAAAAAACCGTGCTTACAGCAAAAAGCCTGATGGTAATGATTCTACTCACCAGAACAAATTCAATAAGCTGTAGTTGTTCTGGTGACTATAGTGTCCCTTTGACTATATTCATTGTCAGTCAGTCCACACAAGTTTTGTTCCCATACATCCCTCTTAAGTTTCCATACTTAAGTAAGAGTATGTAAAAAGTAGTTAGGGTTGCCTCCTTTCTTGGAAAAACATACCGATCTTACTAATTTGCAAATTAAATATGTATGGGTGACATCACATGATGTAAATCACAAGGAGTGACATAGAGAAAATGCTGTAAAAGCACCAAAAAAACTACTTAGTTTGATTCTGCTGTATAGATGGATTCCTCCCAGTGCACCCATGTCTCCCAGTGCCCTCATGACTCCGTGCCCCCATGTGTTGATTACTCCAGGTCTCAGTGTTCCTATGTATCAGTGTCTCAGTGCCTCATGTCTCCCAGAGTCCCCTAGTGTCATGTCCCCAGGTCCCCCAGTGATCCTATGTATCACAGTGTCTGAATGCCCCATGTCTCCCTGTGTCCCCATGTATCCCAGGGTCCCCATGTCACTAGGACACTAGGAAGACAGGGAGACCTAGGGACACTGAGACACCAGTGACACTGGGAGACTAGAGGACTCTGGCTGGGACACATGGGGACAATGGGAAAATAGGGGACACTTGAAGACATGGAGACACAGACACCAGGGACACAGACACTAGAGACACTGGCTGGGGGACATTGAGACATGGGGGGACTGGGAGACATGGGGACACAGACACCAGGGCCACAGACACCAGGGACACTAGCTTGGATACATGGGGACATTGTGACACTTGAGGCACTGAGAGACATGGAGGCACTAGGAGACATGGGGACAGTGAGACACTGGCAGACTGGGGGCACTGAGAGACTATGGGTCACTGGGAGATACCAGGGACACTGGCTGGGAGACATGGGGACACTGTGTCCCCATGTGTCTGTGTCATAATGTCTCCCAATGTCCCTAAGTGTCTCAGTGCCTGCCATAATGTCTCCCAGTGTCCCTTAATGTCTCAGTGTATGTCTCCTTGCAGCCTTTCCCCCATCCCTTACTTCTCTGAGCTGTAGGCTAGGAGTTGCTGTCTGGACTCACTGTAGCTGCTCCCCTGCAGATCAGTGAGTATAGATAGGCAGGGAGGGATATGCTGGAACTTCCTATCCCTGCCGGTCTCCACACACACACACGGTATTGCATAGTAATCTCGTTTATACTGAGAAAAATACCAGCATTTGTATTGCCAGTATCACTGCAATATTGGCACCAGCCAGGCAGCTTTAAATACTGGCTGTGCTAATAAAATAAAAGCCAGGTGGAATCCCTAAGAGTAGTGTGTTAAAAAAAAAAAGGTAAAAAAAATATATATATATATATATTTTTTTTTTTAATCAATGGGCCTATTCCATGGGCCTGGGCCTGGAGCTGCAGCTCCATCAGCCCCTATGTTAATCCGGCCCTGGAGGGACATTCAAAAATGAGGATAAGAAAACTAAACGGTGGTAAGAAATTCAAGAGGTAGATTAAGGGACACACAGGTGAAGATGCATTTGTTTGAGAAAAGTGGGGGGAGAGGCACCAAAATGCATCTTTGCCTGTGTAGCCAAAAATCCTGCATGTGTCAGATAAACTTGAAGCAGCATCAGTGACACAAAACCACAAATAGTGTAGTGCGCATTATCCCTCCTCTACCCTGTGTGTGAAGTCATGCACAAGGGTCAGAGGGAGGGCAGACAGAAGCGCACCAGGATTAACCCAGTATACATTACATAGCTAAATTACCATATTTTCTCTCAGTGAAAAATAAGTGCGGCCCGCACCAACAGACAGGTAATCTGTTTTGTGTCTTGCTGACATCAATTGTGTGATTTCCCTCTCTTATGGTGTGCACATAATTACTCAATTAAGAAAATATGAATATTATGAATGTAGACATTCTTACATTAACCACGTTCACTAGCTAGTTTATTGGTGCCCTGCAGTGCATGTAAGATATAGGTACCTAATAGAAAATAATTATTTGTTGTTTTCCTGATTTTTGACAATACTATTTACGGTAAGTTGCAATTTATTTGTCCAAATGCTCTTCCTTTTGTAACATCAAGATTTTACAACAATATTTTTATTCTTATGACATTTTTGTTAACTGTAATGCATTTATTTCCCCCAAACCATTATCTTCTGTTAGCTTCTGCTACAATGTATGTATTTTCATATTTTACTAATGCTCAAGAACATTTTAATAATAACTGTTATTGGGGGCGTGTCCTAGCAGCGCATGAGAGCAGACGTGTAGGACGAGAGCTCTCCAGAGAAATGGCATGCACAGCGTGTTACAGCCTAAATAACTGACCAATATACCCTATCTGCCGAGGGGTAATACTGCACAACAACATGGCAGCAAAAATGACCAAAAAACTTAAACAAAAAACCCTGAACTCACACTTCAAAAGACAACAATCTTCAGAACAGGGGGATCAAGATGGCGCAGACAGGCCTAACTCCCCGGCACAGGAGACAGTCAGCTAGACCACACCGAGCGCTCCAATCCAGCAACAGAGCTCTCAGTGAGGAAATTAAGAACTGCAGGCTTCCTTTAAAGCAGACCTCCAACAAATGACAGCTGAGATAAAAGCGGACATACACAGCATCGGCGAACGGACTGCACGCCTGGAGGACCGCACAAATGAGCTAGTAGACGCTCACAACTACGTAGCTGAGGCATACTCCTCGTTAAAACAAAAAACTAAAATCCCTGGAAGAAAGAGTAGCAGATCACGAAGACAGAAGCAGACGGAATAATGTCCGCCTACGGGGAATTCCTGAGTCAATAAACTCAGACCTACCTAGGTATGTACAGGACCTGTTCAAAACACTCATACCATCCTTAAACAACCTGGACTTGACATTAGACAGAACGCATAGACTCCCCAAGCCCAAGCACCTACAGCCGGACTCAACGAGAGATGTGATCACCAGGATCCATTTCTACACTATCAAGGACTGACATATGCAACCTTCCAGAACATTGAAACAGTGGCCTGAACCCTACCAAAGCATTAAAATATTTACAGATCTATCATCAGTGCACTTTCGCACCCATAACAGAAGCCTTGAGAAATGCCAACATTCCCTACAAATGGGGTTTCCCCACCAAATTGCTTGTGAAACGGAATGGAGTAGACAGACCCATCCATGACCTAGCAGAAGGCAAAAGAATACTCCAAGAATGACAAATTCCACTACCACCCGATGTCGTGAAACAAGCAACTACCACCATCACCACAGCGTTGAAATCCCTAGCCAAAGACTGGTCCCGACATGCAAGGCCCAACAGAAATCGATGGACTTTGGAGTTTCCCCAACCTGAACAGCTTACTGAGCTGCAGTTATAACCAAAAAACAAAATTCCACCACAAGGGAAGGAATAGATATAGGTGGATTGGCGCTAGAGAACAGAGCAGCAACTACCCCCAGTGTCTATAAATCACTCTAAAGACACTAACAAACAGTAATAAAATGAAATAGCAGAGTGGGGGGTGCAGTGTACAGATAAAAAGCAGAACAAGTATATACTTATAGTAAAACGTTCCTTTGGCTTAATCTGAAAAACATAAAAAGTCCATACATAGTGTAACACTGTAAAATATAGGACTAGTGGATGTAGAGGTATTGGGTCACTCACAATAGATAGAGCCTAGAAAGCAGGCTCAAACTTGATGGCATGTGGAAAATCAGCTTTCCCAAGCTTTACAGACTGGCTCCAAACTCCTTCTATAGGTACTGGTGATCTGCTCCAGACGTAGAAAGGATTGATGATAGACCAAAATATAGTGGTATTAAAAAGTATTTACTTTGAATAAAACAATAAAATAAAATGTAATATAAAATAGTATTACATACAATAACACAACGCGTTTCGACTAAATGTCTTTATCAAGTGTATAATGCAGGTCCTCATCCGGCGTTCTTTTTATATCCTCTTTACCGGAAATGTGGTCTTCCCGCCAAAAAGTTCTTCCGGTATGGCGTCATGACGCACGTTCCGTCGTTACGTCATGACGCACGTGACGTCCGTACATCACTTCCTGTAAATTCGCTCGGCGAAACGAGAGCAGCCAGAAACACCATTTTGCAAAAGGGCAGCAATGCAGTATATACATGTACATAAGCAAATCCCCAAACAAAATGGAACAAGGACACATTCTCATTAAGTTCAAACAAATCTTATATAAAAAAAAGAGTAATAATAATAATAATAAAAGGGCATTACATAACAATATATTTAAAATGCAGACATAGTATACCTCCATATTAAAACTATATAAAGCTTTTAAACATATACAATTAAAAACAAATGAGGTTCAAAGAACATATATCTAAAATGGAGAGAAAGAGAAGTAATATTAACCATATTGAATATCAATATATAAAACAGTCAGATAAGGGCTTTCATTTCGAAATCGACATTGAGACCATTAGGAGATAAGGTGTCCAGATTGAAAATCCACCTCATCTCACTACGGCTCAAGGCTGATTCTCCATGACCTCCCCTCCAATGGGGTCTAATTTGTTGTATACCATAAAACATAATTCCTGTGGGGTCCCCTCCATGCTTTTTTAAAAAATGTAAAGAAACATTATGTTTCAGGAAACCCTTTCTGATATTATATATATGTTCGCGTATTCTAGTTTTAAATGTCCTTGAGGTCCTCCCAACATACTGGAACCCACAAGGACATACGAGAACATATATAATATTCTTAGAATGGCATGAAATAAAAGAATCTATTTTATAGTTGTATGTTCCTACACGTGATCTGAAGCTTTCTAGTTTTTTGGGTTTATTTTTATATATTTTACACCCCATACAGTCATTACAATAGTGAAAACCTTTATCGTTTTCCCTATGAATACTTATAAAATTATTGTTATTCTTAGGTTTATCTAGATAACTAGAAGTTAAAATATGCCTCAAATTTTTTGCTCCTCTATAAACAATTTTCGGTTTGTTTCCAATATAAGGCAAAATTTCAGTATCCTGTTGTAGGATATGCCAATTTTTGTTAAGAACTTTTTTAAGTGCTATATGTTCTTTATTATAATTAAAAATCATTGGAATCTTCTCTCCCTTTTCCTTATCTCTGGTTTTATAAGTTAGAAGAGAATCTCTATTTGTTTCTTTCACCATCCTAATTTCATCTTCTAATTTTTCAGAATTATAACCCCTATGCATAAACTGTTCCTTCAGGGTATTAGCTTGGTCTTCAAAAGAATTCAAATCCGTGCAGTTACGCCGTATCCGAATAAACTGTCCCTTAGGGATATTGTCGAGCCAGGGTAAAAAATGACAACTATCCTTATGGATATAACTATTGACATCCACAGGTTTAAAAAAAGTACGAGTTTTAATAGTCTGGTCCTGTATAAAAATTTCCAAATCTAAAAAATTGATACTCTCTTTAGCAATCTCCTGAGTTAAATGAATATTCCACTGATTGGAATTTAAAAACTTAATAAAATCCAATGCCGAAGCTTCATCCCCCTTCCAAATTAAAAAGATGTCATCGATGTATCTTTTATATAGGACCAGGTTCGCACTCCAGTCATGCTGGGAATACACATATCTGTCTTCCCAATAGGACATAAATAAATTAGCATAACTGGGCGCGAACCTGGTCCCCATGGCTGTCCCCCTACATTGTAAAAAAAAGTTATCCTCGAACCAGAAGAAATTGTTATGGAGGATAAAAGATATTCCCTCCATAATAAAATCAACCTGTTCACCAGGATACAATGTGGAGGATTCTAAAAAGAAACGTGAAGCTAAACACCCTACATCGTGATCAATGCATGTGTACAAACTAGTGACATCACATGTAATGAATAAAAAGTCTTCTTCCCATTTGAAGTTGTTTAAAATTTGTAATAGACTCATAGAGTCCTTCAAATATGACAGACTATGTTTAACTAAGGGTTGGAGGTGAGTGTCTACATATTTGGATAAATTAGACAGAAGGGATCCAACCCCTGAGACAATCGGTCTCCCTGGGGGGTTGGATGCATCCTTATGTAATTTGGGTAAGATGTATATAACAGGAATTTTTGGTAATTTTATATCCAGGAAAGTATATTCTTTTTGATTTATAATTCCTTTAACAAAACCTTTTTCTAAATATTCTTTATATTTTTTATTTATCTCCATCTGTGGGTTTCCATCTAATTTCCTATATGTATTATGGTCCTCTAATTGTCGTTCGATCTCTGAGATATACTTATCTCTATCCATTACGACCACACCACCTCCCTTATCAGCTGGCTTTATTACTATTTGAGAATCTTTCCCTAAATTCTGCATAGCCTGTCTTTCTTTTTTTGTTAAATTATCTCTCTTATTCATTTTAATTTGTTTGATGTCTTTAACACATGCCCTTTCAAAGACTTTCATAGAATTGGATTTTAAATGTATAGGATAAAAGGATGACTGAGGTTTTAAATCCGTATGAAGAAAAAGAGTTGCATTCTCAATAGTATTGACTTCCATTTTAGGTTTTTGATTAAAAAATTTTTTAAGACATAATCTCCTCATAAACCTATTAATATCAGTATATGCCTCAAATTTATCCATAATGCAACTTGGTGCGAATTTAAAACCTTTATTTAAAATATTTTTCTCATTTAAATTAAGAACCTTTTTAGACAAATTAAAAATCCTTATTTCTTCATGATTTTTTCTTTTCGGTCTCTCCAGTCTCTTTCCTCCTCTATTTCCCCTTCTTCTATATCCCTGTACCGTCTCTTTTGGGGGATGGGAGTTCGAGTAGGAGGTTCCCTCCATCTTTTCTCTAAAAAAGGAATCATTCTCTGATTCTCCAGATCCCTAATTGGTTCAAATCGATTGGAAGTCTCGATTTCTCTCTTTGATCTTAATGGCGGGCTGTTTTCTCTCCTATATTCTAAAGAAAAATTATCCTTCCTTGCTGGAACATATTTTTGTTTATAATCAGGCCTATTAACTTTCTGATTATATCTCCTTTGCGGTCTGTTATAATCTATTTCTATCCTTTCTTTGTTATCTCTACGTTTGTGCTGATTTCTTTTAACTTCAGTCCACTCCTGGGCTGGGCTGTCATACTCAACTCTTCTTTTAACTATTGGGTCTTGTCTGACCTCTCTATTCCCATATTTATAATTGACTATATTCGGTCTAGATTTATTTTGATTAAAATTAGTTCTAGGTTTTTTTCGAATATTATTGGTGGCATAATCATTCGTATCTCTCTGATACTTCTTTTTCTTAGAAGTGATAATTGAAGACTCTAGTTTATCCAACCTACCCATAATAAGGTTTGAGATTGATTCAAAGTCCCCCGTACCAATGAAGGGTTCTAATCTCATACGAATTTCCCCAATAATCTTATCTAGAACTTCTAGATTTCTATTTCTTTGATCCACAATAATTTGCATCATAGTAATGGTAAATGATTCTAATGCATTTTCCCAAATATCTATAAACCTCTTATCATCTCTATCAAAGGTAGGGTATTTGGTAAACCTAAGACCTCTCGGTGTTATTTGGTCACTTAGGTACTTTTTCATTGTAAAGATTTCCCATTTAATCTTTAATTCTTTTGTAAGTAATTTTTCAAGTAGAGAACACATTTCATCTAAATTATCACTAATCTTATATTTCTCTGGTGTTTCTATTTCTACTTCATCAAAAATATTTTGTACATAATTATGCATAGTGGCTCTTTTTTCAAATATAGCCATCTTAATAGCAGCCCACACCCGAGTGATTTAAACAACAAATATAACCAAAAAACAAAATTCCACCACAAGGGAAGGAATAGATATAGGTGGATTGGCGCTAGAGAACAGAGCAGCAACTACCCCCAGTGTCTATAAATCACTCTAAAGACACTAACAAACAGTAATAAAATGAAATAGCAGAGTGGGGGGTGCAGTGTACAGATAAAAAGCAGAACAAGTATATACTTATAGTAAAACGTTCCTTTGGCTTAATCTGAAAAACATAAAAAGTCCATACATAGTGTAACACTGTAAAATATAGGACTAGTGGATGTAGAGGTATTGGGTCACTCACAATAGATAGAGCCTAGAAAGCAGGCTCAAACTTGATGGCATGTGGAAAATCAGCTTTCCCAAGCTTTACAGACTGGCTCCAAACTCCTTCTATAGGTACTGGTGATCTGCTCCAGACGTAGAAAGGATTGATGATAGACCAAAATATAGTGGTATTAAAAAGTATTTACTTTGAATAAAACAATAAAATAAAATGTAATATAAAATAGTATTACATACAATAACACAACGCGTTTCGACTAAATGTCTTTATCAAGTGTATAATGCAGGTCCTCATCCGGCGTTCTTTTTATATCCTCTTTACCGGAAATGTGGTCTTCCCGCCAAAAAGTTCTTCCGGTATGGCGTCATGACGCACGTTCCGTCGTTACGTCATGACGCACGTGACGTCCGTACATCACTTCCTGTAAATTCGCTCGGCGAAACGAGAGCAGCCAGAAACACCATTTTGCAAAAGGGCAGCAATGCAGTATATACATGTACATAAGCAAATCCCCAAACAAAATGGAACAAGGACACATTCTCATTAAGTTCAAACAAATCTTATATAAAAAAAGAGTAATAATAATAATAATAAAAGGGCATTACATAACAATATATTTAAAATGCAGACATAGTATACCTCCATATTAAAACTATATAAAGCTTTTAAACATATACAATTAAAAACAAATGAGGTTCAAAGAACATATATCTAAAATGGAGAGAAAGAGAAGTAATATTAACCATATTGAATATCAATATATAAAACAGTCAGATAAGGGCTTTCATTTCGAAATCGACATTGAGACCATTAGGAGATAAGGTGTCCAGATTGAAAATCCACCTCATCTCACTACGGCTCAAGGCTGATTCTCCATGACCTCCCCTCCAATGGGGTCTAATTTGTTGTATACCATAAAACATAATTCCTGTGGGGTCCCCTCCATGCTTTTTTAAAAAATGTAAAGAAACATTATGTTTCAGGAAACCCTTTCTGATATTATATATATGTTCGCGTATTCTAGTTTTAAATGTCCTTGAGGTCCTCCCAACATACTGGAACCCACAAGGACATACGAGAACATATATAATATTCTTAGAATAGTTTTTAAATTCCAATCAGTGGAATATTCATTTAACTCAGGAGATTGCTAAAGAGAGTATCAATTTTTTAGATTTGGAAATTTTTATACAGGACCAGACTATTAAAACTCGTACTTTTTTTAAACCTGTGGATGTCAATAGTTATATCCATAAGGATAGTTGTCATTTTTTACCCTGGCTCGACAATATCCCTAAGGGACAGTTTATTCGGATACGGCGTAACTGCACGGATTTGAATTCTTTTGAAGACCAAGCTAATACCCTGAAGGAACAGTTTATGCATAGGGGTTATAATTCTGAAAAATTAGAAGATGAAATTAGGATGGTGAAAGAAACAAATAGAGATTCTCTTCTAACTTATAAAACCAGAGATAAGGAAAAGGGAGAGAAGATTCCAATGATTTTTAATTATAATAAAGAACATATAGCACTTAAAAAAGTTCTTAACAAAAATTGGCATATCCTACAACAGGATACTGAAATTTTGCCTTATATTGGAAACAAACCGAAAATTGTTTATAGAGGAGCAAAAAATTTGAGGCAAATTTTAACTTCTAGTTATCTAGATAAACCTAAGAATAACAATAATTTTATAAGTATTCATAGGGAAAACGATAAAGGTTTTCACTATTGTAATGACTGTATGGGGTGTAAAATATATAAAAATAAACCCAAAAAACTAGAAAGCTTCAGATCACGTGTAGGAACATACAACTATAAAATAGATTCTTTTATTTCATGCCATTCTAAGAATATTATATATGTTCTCGTATGTCCTTGTGGGTTCCAGTATGTTGGGAGGACCTCAAGGACATTTAAAACTAGAATACGCGAACATATATATAATATCAGAAAGGGTTTCCTGAAACATAATGTTTCTTTACATTTTTTAAAAAATCATGGAGGGGACCCCACAGGAATTATGTTTTATGGTATACAACAAATTAGACCCCATTGGAGGGGAGGTCATGGAGAATCAGCCTTGAGCCGTAGTGAGATGAGGTGGATTTTCAATCTGGACACCTTATCTCCTAATGGTCTCAATGTCGATTTCGAAATGAAAGCCCTTATCTGACTGTTTTATATATTGATATTCAATATGGTTAATATTACTTCTCTTTCTCTCCATTTTAGATATATGTTCTTTGAACCTCATTTGTTTTTAATTGTATATGTCTATAAGCTTTATATAGTTTTAATATGGAGGTATACTATGTCTGCATTTTAAATATATTGTTATGTAATGCCCTTTTATTATTATTATTATTACTCTTTTTTTATATAAGATTTGTTTGAACTTAATGAGAATGTGTCCTTGTTCCATTTTGTTTGGGGATTTGCTTATGTACATGTATATACTGCATTGCTGCCCTTTTGTAAAATGGTGTTTCTGGCTGCCCTCGTTTCGCCGAGCGAATTTACAGGAAGTGATGTACGGACGTCACGTGCGTCATGACGTAACGACGGAACGTGCGTCATGACGCCATACCGGAAGAACTTTTTGGCGGGAAGACCACATTTCCGGTAAAGAGGATATAAAAAGAACGCCGGATGAGGACCTGCATTATACACTTGATAAAGACATTTAGTCGAAACGCGTTGTGTTATTGTATGTAATACTATTTTATATTACATTTTATTTTATTGTTTTATTCAAAGTAAATACTTTTTAATACCACTATATTTTGGTCTATCATCAATCCTTTCTACGTCTGGAGCAGATCACCAGTACCTATAGAAGGAGTTTGGAGCCAGTCTGTAAAGCTTGGGAAAGCTGATTTTCCACATGCCATCAAGTTTGAGCCTGCTTTCTAGGCTCTATCTATTGTGAGTGACCCAATACCTCTACATCCACTAGTCCTATATTTTACAGTGTTACACTATGTATGGACTTTTTATGTTTTTCAGATTAAGCCAAAGGAACGTTTTACTATAAGTATATACTTGTTCTGCTTTTTATCTGTACACTGCACCCCCCACTCTGCTATTTCATTTTATTACTGTTTGTTAGTGTCTTTAGAGTGATTTATAGACACTGGGGGTAGTTGCTGCTCTGTTCTCTAGCGCCAATCCACCTATATCTATTCCTTCCCTTGTGGTGGAATTTTGTTTTTTGGTTATATTTGTTGTTTAAATCACTCGGGTGTGGGCTGCTATTAAGATGGCTATATTTGAAAAAAGAGCCACTATGCATAATTATGTACAAAATATTTTTGATGAAGTAGAAATAGAAACACCAGAGAAATATAAGATTAGTGATAATTTAGATGAAATGTGTTCTCTACTTGAAAAATTACTTACAAAAGAATTAAAGATTAAATGGGAAATCTTTACAATGAAAAAGTACCTAAGTGACCAAATAACACCGAGAGGTCTTAGGTTTACCAAATACCCTACCTTTGATAGAGATGATAAGAGGTTTATAGATATTTGGGAAAATGCATTAGAATCATTTACCATTACTATGATGCAAATTATTGTGGATCAAAGAAATAGAAATCTAGAAGTTCTAGATAAGATTATTGGGGAAATTCGTATGAGATTAGAACCCTTCATTGGTACGGGGGACTTTGAATCAATCTCAAACCTTATTATGGGTAGGTTGGATAAACTAGAGTCTTCAATTATCACTTCTAAGAAAAAGAAGTATCAGAGAGATACGAATGATTATGCCACCAATAATATTCGAAAAAAACCTAGAACTAATTTTAATCAAAATAAATCTAGACCGAATATAGTCAATTATAAATATGGGAATAGAGAGGTCAGACAAGACCCAATAGTTAAAAGAAGAGTTGAGTATGACAGTCCAGCCCAGGAGTGGACTGAAGTTAAAAGAAATCAGCACAAACGTAGAGATAACAAAGAAAGGATAGAAATAGATTATAACAGACCGCAAAGGAGATATAATCAGAAAGTTAATAGGCCTGATTATAAACAAAAATATGTTCCAGCAAGGAAGGATAATTTTTCTTTAGAATATAGGAGAGAAAACAGCCCGCCATTAAGATCAAAGAGAGAAATCGAGACTTCCAATCGATTTGAACCAATTAGGGATCTGGAGAATCAGAGAATGATTCCTTTTTTAGAGAAAAGATGGAGGGAACCTCCTACTCGAACTCCCATCCCCCAAAAGAGACGGTACAGGGATATAGAAGAAGGGGAAATAGAGGAGGAAAGAGACTGGAGAGACCGAAAAGAAAAAATCATGAAGAAATAAGGATTTTTAATTTGTCTAAAAAGGTTCTTAATTTAAATGAGAAAAATATTTTAAATAAAGGTTTTAAATTCGCACCAAGTTGCATTATGGATAAATTTGAGGCATATACTGATATTAATAGGTTTATGAGGAGATTATGTCTTAAAAAATTTTTTAATCAAAAACCTAAAATGGAAGACAATACTATTGAGAATGCAACTCTTTTTCATCATACGGATTTAAAACCTCAGTCATCCTTTTATCCTATACATTTAAAATCCAATTCTATGAAAGTCTTTGAAAGGGCATGTGTTAAAGACATCAAACAAATTAAAATGAATAAGAGAGATAATTTAACAAAAAAAGAAAGACAGGCTATGCAGAATTTAGGGAAAGATTCTCAAATAGTAATAAAGCCAGCTGATAAGGGAGGTGGTGTGGTCGTAATGGATAGAGATAAGTATATCTCAGAGATCGAACGACAATTAGAGGACCATAATACATATAGGAAATTAGATGGAAACCCACAGATGGAGATAAATAAAAAATATAAAGAATATTTAGAAAAAGGTTTTGTTAAAGGAATTATAAATCAAAAAGAATATACTTTCCTGGATATAAAATTACCAAAAATTCCTGTTATATACATCTTACCCAAATTACATAAGGATGCATCCAACCCCCCAGGGAGACCGATTGTCTCAGGGGTTGGATCCCTTCTGTCTAATTTATCCAAATATGTAGACACTCACCTCCAACCCTTAGTTAAACATAGTCTGTCATATTTGAAGGACTCTATGAGTCTATTACAAATTTTAAACAACTTCAAATGGGAAGAAGACTTTTTATTCATTACATGTGATGTCACTAGTTTGTACACATGCATTGATCACGATGTAGGGTGTTTAGCTTCACGTTTCTTTTTAGAATCCTCCACATTGTATCCTGGTGAACAGGTTGATTTTATTATGGAGGGAATATCTTTTATCCTCCATAACAATTTCTTCTGGTTCGAGGATAACTTTTTTTTACAATGTAGGGGGACAGCCATGGGGACCAGGTTCGCGCCCAGTTATGCTAATTTATTTATGTCCTATTGGGAAGACAGATATGTGTATTCCCAGCATGACTGGAGTGCGAACCTGGTCCTATAGAAAAGATACATCGATGACATCTTTTTAATTTGGAAGGGGGATGAAGCTTCGGCATTGGATTTTATTAAGTTTTTAAATTCCAATCAGTGGAATATTCATTTAACTCAGGAGATTGCTAAAGAGAGTATCAATTTTTTAGATTTGGAAATTTTTATACAGGACCAGACTATTAAAACTCGTACTTTTTTTAAACCTGTGGATGTCAATAGTTATATCCATAAGGATAGTTGTCATTTTTTACCCTGGCTCGACAATATCCCTAAGGGACAGTTTATTCGGATACGGCGTAACTGCACGGATTTGAATTCTTTTGAAGACCAAGCTAATACCCTGAAGGAACAGTTTATGCATAGGGGTTATAATTCTGAAAAATTAGAAGATGAAATTAGGATGGTGAAAGAAACAAATAGAGATTCTCTTCTAACTTATAAAACCAGAGATAAGGAAAAGGGAGAGAAGATTCCAATGATTTTTAATTATAATAAAGAACATATAGCACTTAAAAAAGTTCTTAACAAAAATTGGCATATCCTACAACAGGATACTGAAATTTTGCCTTATATTGGAAACAAACCGAAAATTGTTTATAGAGGAGCAAAAAATTTGAGGCATATTTTAACTTCTAGTTATCTAGATAAACCTAAGAATAACAATAATTTTATAAGTATTCATAGGGAAAACGATAAAGGTTTTCACTATTGTAATGACTGTATGGGGTGTAAAATATATAAAAATAAACCCAAAAAACTAGAAAGCTTCAGATCACGTGTAGGAACATACAACTATAAAATAGATTCTTTTATTTCATGCCATTCTAAGAATATTATATATGTTCTCGTATGTCCTTGTGGGTTCCAGTATGTTGGGAGGACCTCAAGGACATTTAAAACTAGAATACGCGAACATATATATAATATCAGAAAGGGTTTCCTGAAACATAATGTTTCTTTACATTTTTTAAAAAAGCATGGAGGGGACCCCACAGGAATTATGTTTTATGGTATACAACAAATTAGACCCCATTGGAGGGGAGGTCATGGAGAATCAGCCTTGAGCCGTAGTGAGATGAGGTGGATTTTCAATCTGGACACCTTATCTCCTAATGGTCTCAATGTCGATTTCGAAATGAAAGCCCTTATCTGATATTCAATATGGTTAATATTACTTCTCTTTCTCTCCATTTTAGATATATGTTCTTTGAACCTCATTTGTTTTTAATTGTATATGTTTAAAAGCTTTATATAGTTTTAATATGGAGGTATACTATGTCTGCATTTTAAATATATTGTTATGTAATGCCCTTTTATTATTATTATTATTACTCTTTTTTTATATAAGATTTGTTTGAACTTAATGAGAATGTGTCCTTGTTCCATTTTGTTTGGGGATTTGCTTATGTACATGTATATACTGCATTGCTGCCCTTTTGCAAAATGGTGTTTCTGGCTGCTCTCGTTTCGCCGAGCGAATTTACAGGAAGTGATGTACGGACGTCACGTGCGTCATGACGTAACGACGGAACGTGCGTCATGACGCCATACCGGAAGAACTTTTTGGCGGGAAGACCACATTTCCGGTAAAGAGGATATAAAAAGAACGCCGGATGAGGACCTGCATTATACACTTGATAAAGACATTTAGTCGAAACGCGTTGTGTTATTGTATGTAATACTATTTTATATTACATTTTATTTTATTGTTTTATTCAAAGTAAATACTTTTTAATACCACTATATTTTGGTCTATCATCAATCCTTTCTACGTCTGGAGCAGATCACCAGTACCTATAGAAGGAGTTTGGAGCCAGTCTGTAAAGCTTGGGAAAGCTGATTTTCCACATGCCATCAAGTTTGAGCCTGCTTTCTAGGCTCTATCTATTGTGAGTGACCCAATACCTCTACATCCACTAGTCCTATATTTTACAGTGTTACACTATGTATGGACTTTTTATGTTTTTCAGATTAAGCCAAAGGAACGTTTTACTATAAGTATATACTTGTTCTGCTTTTTATCTGTACACTGCACCCCCCACTCTGCTATTTCATTTTATTACTGAGCTGCAGTGATGACGAAGATATGGCACTGCTGTTGGGCCTCTAAACCCGATGTAATGTATTTGTTATGTCATATTTTGCTGTGTTCTGCAAAAAATTCCCCCCACTCCCTTATGGCTAATAAGCCGATAAATTTTACTGTTAGCCGTGACCGGGCTAGACACTGCTCGCACCTCACATGTTTCATATCTATCGGCGAGTTTCTCAACTAAGTGAGCTTGGCATATTATACTAATATGGGCCAACCCCAAGGCCCACATCTGGACGCGATTATTCGTCACTATGAGCGGCTTCATATCACCCAAAGTGACAAACGGAATACTGTACATAGTTTATCCCCAGTTTATCCCACCCCTACTACAATTAGAGTACCTTATATGTGCTTCTGGCCAAACCGGAATGAGACATTACCACTGTAGGTGGCTGAAAATAGTCAAGCAACTACCTACTATGAGGCTGTTGGTGGAATTTGGAGGGGCCATAAAACAGGATTTAGAAATCAGCATAAACTGTATCCCCTCTAATGACAATTAAAATACTATCTTTGAATCTTTGAATGCAAAATACCCAGGACATACTTGAAAACGAGAGAAATCTCAATGTATCTTTCCTGGTAAAATATTTTATAAATAAAAATGGCTTAATTCTCTGAATAAGCGTAGACTAGCCATCAACGAAGCTAAAAAGAGTGGTGCCCTAGTGGCGTTTTTTCAGGAGACACACATTACCTGGCAGGGCAGACCAAGATTTAATTACAAGGCGTATCCCCATGATTTCCATACATGTTATAAAGCTAAAAAATGCGGCGTCTCGATTCTGATTAGTAAAGACGTAGCATTCTCCCTGATATGTAAGATTGGAGATAAAAAGGGCGCTATTTAATATTACAATGTCTCATCAATAATAATCCCTATACACTAATCAATGTATATAGTCCCAATGACAATCAACACTAATTTCTGGTTATGATATTAGCATTGGCTGAATTGTATAAATATGGGGAGGTAATCATTGGAGGTGACACTAATTTGTTAATTGACAGCAAAGCTGACTCCTCTGCTACAGCCAATATCTCAGCAAACTCATTAAAACAAAGAACAGCCCTATCAACACAGATATGCACCACCCTAGCTTCCCACCATTTAGTAAATCCATTGCGCATTCAACACCCGACGGAAGTCGATAATACCTGCCACAGAGCTGCACATAACAGTTACTCCCGTATAGACCGATTCCTAGTCCCAGTCACTTACTTACCGAACATAGAAGAACATAGAAGAATCCACCATCGGGCCTATCTCATGGTCTGACCACGCTCCTATTATGTATAAGGGAACCCCTCCCCAATAAAGGGACTGGCATGTGGAGACCCACAACACACAAAGACCCACAACACACAAAACTATTGCAGCTTCAAACCTCTTACAAAGCCCCTTTACATTAGAAGAACTAACAAACATCTCTCATCTCTCGGCCCACAAGTCCCCAGGACCAGACGGTCCCTCCAATGCATATTACCAAACCTTCTCCTCTACCGTTTCACCACATCTTCCAGGGGTCCTTAACCAGAGCGCTGAGAAAGGTGCCCTTCCAGAAGAGATGTTGGTAGCGCACATCTCAACCCTTCCTAAACCAGGTAAACCACCGACACAATGCAAGACCTTTCGACCCATCTCTTTACTCAATGGGGATGCAAAAATATAAGCAAAACTCCTTAGCAATACATTAGCGCTGATCCTATATAAACTTATAAACAACGATCAATCCAGATTCGTTAAAGGACGCCAGGGTTCTGATAATACCAGAAGGATCTTAAACATAGTATCCACACTAAATAAAAAACGCTGGACGCCGGAAAGGCCTTCGATCGACTAAACTGGACCTATATGATCGAAGTGTTAAAGAAATTTAATTTCCCTGAAAGTGTTATAAGAAGTATCATGGCCCTCTATAGTGCCCCAGCAGCTAGAGGGTCACATGGGGGGGTTCTTGTCTCAACCATTCGCAATAACAAACGGAACCAGGCAGGGGTGCCCACTTTCACCCCTCTTGTATATTCTATCTCTAGAGCCATTAATACATAAGATCTGCACACACCCTGACATCCACGGCATCCATATCCATGGCAGGTCATACAGCCTAGCGCTTTTTGCCGATGATATATTTGTTGCTATCTCCAATCTGCAACAATCTATACCCCACCTAATGAGGCTGTGCGACAATTCGGAAAGTAATCTCACTACCGACTAAACCAAGACAAAACCGAAGCCCTATCGATAGGACTCCCCAAGCCATTAAAAGATTCCCTACGCAACAAATTCCAATTTGACTGGAGATCAACATCCATCACATACCTAGGGGTAAAAATAGCTCCCTCAATACCTTTGACAGTGAAACTAAATTATAACCCCCTTATATGTGATGCTTTCATGGATGGGGAAAATAAATGCTTATAAAATGATGATGATACTCCCCCTCATTTTATATATAATTAGAATGTTAACTCTTAAACTCCCCAAACAATACTGTAACGTTTTACAGAAACTATGTGGCTCATTTATTTGGGAGGGGAAGAGTATCATTAGCACTTCTACAAACCGCACCCAAACATGATGGCGTGGGCCTTCCAAAGATTGGACAATATTTTAAAGCAGGGGTCCTCCTCCACTCTCAGCCCACTATTATACAATGGACGGACATGGAAAAGGCACTGTGCCCAGAGCAATCACTTATTGATTTATGGACACCAAGATGACTCAAAACAAAAGCCCATTTTATTCCCGACTACCCAACACATGGTAGGGATGTGGAACAAATATTTCCTCACCATGGGCTACAAAGACACATACCAAAGCACCTCTTTCAGCTCTTAGAGCGGTGTCAAAAGACATCCCTCTAGCAGACTGGTTCACAACAGGAATCACTCACATACATCAGCTGATGAGGGATAATGACATAATCCCCTTCACCGAGCTACAGACTAAATGGCAATTACCGAATTAAGCGATTTTTTTCCTACTTACAGTTAAAGAGTATCCTCGTAACACATGCATTACCCATCCCCACCACACAAGACCCCAAGTGGGTAATCCCAAAGCTACTTATGGACAGATGCTGGTCTGCACCGACTAAACCAAAGGCATTAGCGCTGTGTTACAAAGCATGGCAAAAGACTATACCACCTATGCACCGAGCACACAAGGCCCAATGGGAAGCAGACTGCCACAGGACATTAACAGATGATGACTGGCTCCATGCTCTGAACGGACTGTCTAAATGGACTCGGTGCTTCTCACACATAGAGTCCCATAGGAAGCTTATGTACCGTTAGATTTCAGTAAGGCTTTTGACACTGTTACACATAGAAGGCTTATTAATAAACTGCAATCTTTAAGTTTGGATTCCAATATTGTTGAATGGGTAAAGCAGTGGCTGAGTGACAGGCAACAGAGGGTTGTAGTTAATGGAATATATTCGAAGCTTGGACTTGTCACCAGTGGGGTACCTCAGGGATCTGTTCTTGGATCCATTCTCTTTAATATTTTTATTAGTGATATTGCAGAAGGTTTTGATGGTAAGGCATGTCTTTTTGCTGATGATACTAAGATGTGTAACAGGGTTGATGTTCCAGGAGGGATAAACCAAATGGCAAATGATTTAGGTAAACTAGAAAAATTGTCAGAATTGTGGCAACTGACATTTAATGTGGATAAGTGCAAGATAATGCATCTTGGATGTAAAAACCCAAGGGCAGAGTACAGAATATTTGATAGAGTCCTAACCTCAACATATAAGGAAAGGAATTTAGGGGTGATTATTTCTGATGACTTAAAGGTAGGCAGACAATGTAATAGAGCAGCAGGAAATGCTAGCAGAATGCTTGGTTGTATAGGGAGAGGTATTAGCAGTAGAAAGAGGGAAGTGCTCATGCCATTGTACAGAACACTGGTGAGACCTCACTTGGAGTATTGTACACAGTACTGGAGACCGTATCTTCAGAAGGATATTGATACCTTAGAGAGGGTTCAGAGAAGGGCTACTAAACTGGTTCATGGATTGCGGGATAAAACTTACCAGGAAAGGTTAAAGGATCTTAACATGTATAGCTTGGAGGAAAGACGAGAAAGGCGGGATATGATAGAAACATTTAAATACATAAAGGGAATCAACACAGTAAAGGAGGAGACTATTGTTAGAAGAAAAACTACCACAACGAGAGGACATAGTCTTAAATTAGAGGGACAAAGGTTTAAAAATAATATCAGGAAGTATTACTTTACTGAGAGGGTAGTGGATGCATGGAATAGCCTTCCAGCTGAAGTGGTAGAGGTTAACACAGTAAAGGAGTTTAAGCATGCGTGGGATAGGCATAAGGCTATCCTAACTATAAGATAAGGCTAGGGACTAATGAAAGTATTTAGAAAATTGGGCAGACTAGATGGGCCGAATGGTTCTTATCTGCCGTCACATTCTATGTTTCTATGTTGTTACATGACCCCTCAGAGAGACTTTTATATTTCCAAAACCATCGCTCATTTGCTGGAGATGTAATAAAGAAACAGGCACACTGCTGCATATCTGATGGTCCTGTGAAGATATCCATCCTCTATGGACCCTAACTTGTACCATTTTAGATACACTAGAAATCCCAGACTTCACATTAACCTCAATGTCACATTTAATTCGTCTATTGCTATTGTTACCTACACCTCACCTTAGGTGAAAAACAGGTCACAGCGCTGGTGCTACTGGCACAGAGGTGGAAATCCCCTGAGTGCCCCTCACTGACCCAAATACTTGACAAGCTGAATCAATTTTATACCTATGAAAAGATGTCGCTCACTTCAGCACAACACAAACTGAAATTTGATGCCACATGGCGAGTGTGAGAAAGGGAATATAGAGAAAAAAATTATTAAAGATAAGTGAACCACTTCGTCCGTTGTCCCGGTAGTCCATGGCTCCATCTATGGTGTCTCAGACCACCTTCTCCAACCCGGTATAAACTCCAAATACCTAATCACCACATGGTACACTAATCAACCTCAACACCTACCGCAACCCCCAGTTATCCCTAACTATTCTCAGTTATGACACCTTCCTTGAAACATAATTCCGAATCACAAAATTGGGACTACAAGTTGCACCCCTGAAGCCGTACACATCTAACTTGTCCCAGCTCAGGTGGCTCTATACACACACAGAATATTCATTTACCAATAACTGTAACTACCCCAAAGCTATAAGCGAGTGAACACTTTAACATAGCTGCACTATGTAAAGACTGGAGAAATGGAACCTGGTTCTAGTTAAGACACTGGTTTGAAAATCAATAATGCGTGACAGACACCATTTTCCCATGACCAGAAAACTGGGATCATATGTGAATAGTCAAGGTATACTTGGTTAGCAAACTATGTTAAGTCGCTCAACAACCGATGCACTGTACCCCAAACAAGGATTTGTTCTCAATGCATGTAATGTTGTAAACACTGCTGTTATTTTATTTTTTTTTCCCAGTATAAATCTTTATTTGGATTTACATAAGAATAAATTACAAATATCTCATACCAAATAAAAAAAATAAAAAATAAAATAAATATCTAACAGTCAATCTAGACAATTACTTCATACACATAAAAAGTGGGATAAGGACACAGCATACATAGGAAACATTTTATGTCTCTTATTCTTTAACAGCTCAATAACTGAAGTGAACTACTCCTACTTTTCTACAATCTTCTATAATTTGTAAACACTTTATTCCCATCTCATATTTCTGTACATTATCTTTCCCCCTATATATACACACCTATCTCATTCTTGATCTGTTTCTCCCAATGTTTACAATCAATAACCATATAATTTTTCCAGCTTCTTGCTATCAGAATCTTCACTGCCATGAATGAATGAATAGTTAAAAATTGTTGATATGATGATATATCAGGCCAGTGGAGATGTAGAAGCGCCAAAGTTGGAGATTGTTCTATCAATTTTATCCCAAACACATAATCTTCTGAAAACCTCATCCCATAGTTTCTTAATTAATTTACAACTCCACCAGATATGGATAAAGCTTCCAATTTCACTCCCACATCTCCAACAAATATCAGACTCCTTATGGTCAATTCTATTTAGTCTGCTTGGAACTAAATACCAACGATAACATATTTTATAATGCGTCTCAAACAGAATCATATTATGAATATTTTTTACCTTTACCATCATATTACCCCAGCTCGTGAAATCAATCTTTAAGTTACATTCCTTTTCCCATCTTTTTATTTGTTTAGACCTTATGTCTTTAGGAGCCGATCTTATCAATGCATAGCAAATAGCCATATTTTTCCTAGGGCTTTCACTTCCAAGAAATTGCTTTATGAGACCACTACATGTTGTATTACCCTTATCAAGGGATTTCCCTACGAAAGTGGCTTTGTAATGTCTTACAATATTTGGGAAGTTTACCCCTCCTTGCCCTATAGTATTCGTTAATTGTTCTAAACTAATACAATGTTTTTTCCCTTTCCAAATAAAATTCTTAAAAATCCTTTGTATTATCTCCAACCATGGTAAGGGAATTTTTAAGGGAACCATTCTAAAAAAGTAGGTCCATCTTGGAACTATGCACACATTTATTATGTTTATCCTTCCCATCCAACTAAAAAACAAATGATTCCACTTTTTTAATGATATCCCGGTGGATTTCAATAGCCTTGGAAAATTAATCTCTATCATATTTTCTATTTTATCAGTTATTAGCAACTCCCAAATATTCAAAGCCACCGTTAGCGTCCGTAAAACCATAGGTCTTTATAAATTCATTCTTCCACTCTCTTACAATTTTTAAACATCACTATTGTTTTTTCTGTATTTATCTTATAATTTGAAATATTGCCATATGCTTCTATTTCCTTCATCAAGTTATTGACCGATTGAGTAGGATCTGTAAGAGTCAGAATTGTGTCATCTGCATACATGCTAATTTTTAGCTCTCTATCAGGGGTTGGTCTGCCCTATTATTCAGAATATTATCTAGACGCCAAGTCATATTGGATCTATATTGTTTTATCAGCTTTTGTATTAAAAATAATATAGCTATGGTCTGACCATATATTCTCTTGTGTATATCTTGTATATGTATATCTTTGATTTGGTCTACTAGCTTTGCTTCACCCAATACAAAATCTATTCTAGAAAGAGAAGAATGTACTTTTGAGAAGTGCGTATATTCTTTTTCTTCTGGATTATATACCCTCCATATGTCTAATAGGTTGTTTTCTTGAAGTATATTTCTCAATATCCTAGCTTGATTTCTCAGATTTTTAGTTATCGGTTTTTTATTTTTTGTTTTTTTATCTAGATCTGTATCTAGCACAGTTAAAGTCACCCGAAATAACAAGTAGCCCTATTTTAACCTTATCTACTTTTTCTATGATCATTTTAAAATATTTAGTTGGTAGTACATTTGCAAGGTATATATTTACCAAAGTATAGACTTTCTCCTCCATCTTACATATTAATATCTGATACCGGCCCTCTATATCTACTTCTTCATATATAACTTCTTTATTTATTCTTTTCGAGAAGATTATAGCCACCCCTCTTTTCTTTTTCCTATCCAAAGACCCTCGTCTTTCCACCTTATCAACTTTATTCCAGTGAGTCTCTTGCAACATCGCTATATCTATTCCTTTTTTTTGAGCAGTTCCTTCAACATTATAAGGGGTATTTAACCCCTTAACATATTAATGAAATACACTTCAGATCTTAATCATTATCGTGTTACTCCTACTTCTGCTGCCATCCCTCCCACATCTACCACACACACCTGAGTTCTCAGAATACAGAGAAACCCATACACATTCATACTTCCTATTGAGGTGACTAAATATCCCCTCAACCTGTAAGCCTTGACAGTATCGCATATTGTCTAGGGCTAAGGTCTATACCTGACCTTAAAGTGGAAGCTCATGGGTGGGGCAATCGAATCCGATGTATATATATTTATATTTTCATCGTGTGGGCCCAAGGACAAAAAACAAACAAAAAAACACTGCTGTTATTCTTAACGCAAACAATGTAATCTCTTCCCTTTTCTCTTCTGTACCCCGATATACCTTGCAAAAACTAAAAACACTAAATTTGAAATAACTTATTTTTCAAATTCAGAAATATAATCTGTTATTAATGTGTCCAAAATTAAATATCCTGTTCCAATGACACCCCAGTAAGATATCATACATATTATCTATTGAAAAATGTGTTCGTATTGCTAATTGTTAGTAATTAAAAAACTAGTAAATATAGCATCAATTTAAAATTACTTAATGTAAAATCCTGAAATGTGTCACTGGCTGTTAACCTACATATTATTGGACAATAGTAGGCGTATCATTTTTTAATTTTTTTTCATATACTGAATATATATTTAATACCTGATCACGTTCCTTCTCGACTTCCTCTAATTGTACCATAACAGTGTTCATTCGATGCTTGTACATTTCACAGTCCTTTGCCAGGGTAGAGCACTTTAACTCCAAGTCCTCTTTCTCCTCCAAGTACTGTAAATATAATTCATATAAAACCAGGTAAAAGTTATTAAATGTACTGGGAATTCTTGGAATAATAATTATCTATAAGTTCTATGTATAAAATAAGTGAATTCATACTTTTAAAATCTAACACATTCTTTATAGCAGGTTTTGAGGACATCCTCCACATCTAGATTTTGAAAAAAAATTATGAAAAAAAAAAAATGACACATTGTAATTCAGTTAGTGCACCATGGTGTATGGGCAAATGTTGTAATGACACTGGAGTTTTCAAATTTCACATTGAATATAAGTGCCATTTTACTGACTCCTAACAAGCATTCATATACTGTTCCTTTTCTATTATATTTTCTATTTCTGCAGTCCTTCAACAAATCCCTAAAACCACACTTCTCCATTTAACTCGTCAAACTTTACAACATTCCACTGCCATCTTCCATCTATAGTGCTTCCACCTCCCAAGCACCCCTCACATCCTCAGTTACATATAAATCACATGATTCCATCACTTGCCTTTGTGCATTAGTCCTTCATCTCTTTAGATTGTAATCATGTCTGGGCAGGGCTCGCTTCAACTCTTGCATGTTTTGTTAGAATGTGTTTGTCTTGTTTACATATTGTACAGCACTACAGAATATGTTTGCGCTACAATTGTAATTGTATTTATAATTTAACCAACAAATTATGTGATATACTTTACTGGACATGTCAACCCAGTATATTGGGACCAAAATATGTAAATATCTTATGAGATAACAAATTTCACATTACCTAATATAGTATTATATTTAGTCTGCCGAGTCATAAGACTTAAAATGTTATCACTCTATAACATGTATTTTTTAGGTTTTCTAGAATGCTCCCTCTTGTGACCCATGAAAAGATTGTATGGCTAATGGAGAAGATTTGCGGTTAACCGCCTTCTCACTTATTATAGGAACAGAGAGTGTGGACTCTGATTTGGGACCCTGTACTCTTCTATTATGGACTGGTGCATGGCAACCATACAGGGTATCCACTGGCATTGCATGGGTTAAATTATGATTCCAGAGACTGTTATTGTTTGCTTGTAGATGTTCAGCTATAATGCAAGTAATGTTAAAGCTGTGTGTGTGTGTGTTTGTTCTTTCTTCCTTCTACTTTGAATATAATATTTTAATGTAATTAAATCAGCGTGATACTGTTAGGAAAATGATAACTTATATTTATGCTAAAGCGTAACATAGTTACCCTCTTCTGAACAGTAATTCACATAAAGTAATTAGTACACTATTTAAAAGGGACACTATAGTCACCAAAACAATTATAGCTTATTGAAGCTGTTTTGGTGTATAGATCATTTCCCTGGAGTGTCACTGCTTACTTATCTACCATTTAGGAGTTAAATCACTTTGTTTATGCACCCTAGTCACACCTCCCTGCATGTGACTTGCACAGCCTTCCTAAACACTTCCTGTAAAGAGTCTGCTAATGTTTATACTACCTTCATTGCAAATTATATTTAATATAAAATGTATTATCCCCTGCACTGTAGATAGCTTGCTAGACTTCACAGAAGCCTCCTGTGTAGGATTAAAGTTCACTTTAAAAGTTCTTATTGCCTGCTCTCTAAAGTAAGTTACATCTAATTGAAAGTTAAACCATTGTTTTATGCAAGGTGTATGAGTCACAGCCAGGGGAGGTGTGGCTAGGGCTGCATGGACAGACAAATCGGATTTAACTCCTAAATTGCAGAGAATTGAGCAGTGAGACTGCAGGATCATGATCTATACACTAAAACTGCTTTGTAAGTCTCTTTGTAAGCTGTTAAGTCTCTCTCTTCTGGCTCAATTCTCCAATAACAAAATATATTAATTTCCCATTCCAAACAGTTCTACTGTTGGGTAGCTATTATGATTTCAAGTACTGTGAGCCAGTTAATAATGTAGGTGATTATAGCTTACTTGGGTGGTATTAAATTTTATAACATGACATATTTGCTTCTCTCTTTACTAGAACTCCACAGCAGCACATTGACAGAGAAAAACAACCAATCAGAAAAAAGTACTGAAACCATAAAAGGTCACTCCCAACCAACTACTTCCTCTTTCTTTGCTGCTCCACATCAAGCACAGGTCAGAGTACCACTGCCTCCTGTTTCATATGGGTGGGTCTTTATTTATATACTTTTGATTTTGTATTTTATGCTGTTCTGTTATAGTTCTGGGGTTTTTTAGTTTCTCCTTGTGTGTGCTTTGGCTGATCTATTCTGCTTCTTATTGGGACTTCTTCTCTTCCCTCTTCCTGTCTCCAGCCTTATCCTTTACCCCCCCTTCTCACTTTCATTTGGTTTGGTGTTTTCCCCTCGCGGTCGCCGAGGAGCGGTACTGTGAACCACCTCCTGTTGTCCGATGGCCGGGGCATGACTCCAGCGGCCCCACGCGAACGCTCCCACCTGCCGGCACTGTTCCGACGAGTGGGAGCTGTCTCAGTCCCTCCCTCTCCCTACCACGCTCCCAGCCGCAGTCTCGGATTTATCGCAGCTCGAGGGCGGAGGGGATAGGGTGAGCGGCCACGTGTGAGTGGCAGTTTCCGGCCTCTTGTCATTCACCCTCCAGCTTCCTCGTGTAAGCCGGGGGACTATCTTTTGTATGTTTAACATCATTAATTTACGCCACTTCTTCCATGAGATTTATTAAAACGGTTTGAAAAGTAATAAAGTAAAGTAACTGTTTTGGATCAAAGAAAAACTTTGATTATTTGTCTATCTACTCCTTCCAAATTGATTAATTAATGCGTGCACGCTTTCCCTAGAAGTAATTCACACCGGAGACAAAGTTTCTGATCAGTGAAAAACCAAGGAATTCCCTGGAGTGGGGGCTCCTTCTTAAAGCAAAAATACGTCACAGTTTAAACATACAGTATACATTCAACAATTGGTTAACAGTCTAAGGGGTCTTGTCTAAACCCCCCCCCCTACAGGATGTAGTGTCATCATTACAGACTTCTCCCGCATATATTCCAGCTCCTGGATACACGATGGGAGGGGGAGTGAGTAGTTTCTTTCAGTTACTTTAACAGTGATTCTCCATTTTGTTACACGTGGCATATAGCTGTTAACTGGCACAAAGGTAGTGGGGGAGGAGTTAGTAAAGGGAGCTGTTATCACAGGAATTTTGGTTACACAAGGTTTGCTTGATTTGAAGGGGGATGGTTAGCAGGATGACAAATTTACATAGTAAACCGCAATTGAACACATTGTGGGGGGGGAAGGGAATATTTACTCTAGCAGCCAGTTTTAACATAGTGAACACAGAATAAATAGACATTAGTAAATAGCCATTTTATTTTAATTCATCTGTCCATAACATAATTGTGCTCTTTCTGTTACTATATGTGTGTATACGAAATATATAAATTAAACACAGATACCAATAGCCTATGATGTTATATATCCAGTTTTTGTGGTATTTATAGCTAAATTATCCTATTGGTTTATTCACTAAACAGTGAGATGGAATGTCACTGTAGCTTGTTTTGTTGGGTGGTCTGTGATATTGGGACCCTGCACCCTTTGTTTTGATGCTTGTTTGTTTTTATCTTACTGGTGCTATCACTACACGTGTTCCTGTTTTTATCTCTGTGTTGCTGCTCCATATTTGGAGCACATGTTATGTCATACTTGATGGTCTTAAAGCCCCATGCCCCCCTATTTTGTCTAGGGTACCTATAGGGCGGTTGGTGGAGGACCCCTCTAAAGGGTGCACATCCCACTACTAGTTAGGTCCTCACTGGCCTGCCAGTCTATTCCACTGATTGGCCTGCTTTGTCTGTGCCCCCTTGATGGTGACACTCCTGCTCTATACTCCCGGGTGACTCATATGCCTACGGTTACCTCTCTATGGAACCCTCTACACAGGAACACAATTTGCAGGCAATGATTGTGGCGGTGGCTGCCTCCATGAAAAAGGCTTTGGCTCCTCAAACAGCAGACGACTTGGCTGAGTCAGACTCTCCTAGAAGAGAGCAGGCAAGTGCGCAGAAGTGCTACTGGAAGGGTGAAGGCCCTGAACCACGCTCCTGGAAGGGTAAGGCTCCAGCGAAGCATCTGGGCCTGATGCTGTCGGCTTTGCCGGCCAGATCCCGCTGCCTATATGGCGCACGGGAGGAGGTCTATGTACCCCTCCCACCCATGGCAGCCAGACGAGCCCCCCTCAGATGGAGGGAACGATTGGGGCGAGGACTATGAGGACGACCCCATGTGGCACCATGAGACGGAGTACACATCCGCGCCGGGGACGGCGACAAGCGTAGTACACGAGGACGTCTTCCTGGATGCCTCTGGCGAATACCTGTACGACCCTCAGTCCATTCGGCACCTAGGTCTTCAGAATGGTCTCTACCCAAGCATCTTGCATGATTCGTGCGCTGTGGGGTCCGCAGGTCGCTGGAGTGAGAAGTACGCAGGAAGCTTTGGGCGGAATACCCAGGCCGGTGCTCCCAGACAAGGTAACCATGACCCTGAGGTTCGGAACTTGGTCGCCACGTACAGAACATGCACAAGATGGGACCCTAAGACAGGGGTCAAGTGCAACCTCTGTCTGGAGCAGGACAAACTGCTGGACATGCTGAGCCGTCTATCCAGGATGCTCATACTTGCGGCTGAGGACTTTTCAGAGGGTGCCGCCCTAGACCCAGCTTCCTTACGGGACTGGGCCCTGTGCTGCTTTGCCTGCTGGGCAATAGGAAGTGTTACGTTGCCCCAGGCTAGCTGAGGGTTGGACCGTCAGCACCGCACCAGACACCATAAGCACTGCAGACCCCACAAACCGTCGCAGCTTGGTTGGGGTCTCGCCGTCTCCTACCCACCCTGGACCTACGACAAGGCTCCAGGCTCCAGTGGGTGAAGCTCTTTCTTCAGAGAGCGAAGCAGGAACAAGCTCTTACAAGAGCTTAGTGAAGCTAAGGGGGTATGAAGAGCATAGCAATCCCTGTAGTGATTATAGCTGTCCCCCCCAAACACGAGTCAAGGCTGCGAGTTGAGGGTCAAGTAGAACTGAAGGTTTAATGGTACAGCTGCTTGTTTTATACAGTATTTCCCCACAAGGTTACCGCCCACGTGGACCTTGTGGGGCACAGGACATGAAATGCACAATCCAATAGTTTACATTTGAACACTCCCAGTTACAAACCCCACCCTCTGCCTGTGATATCATTAACAAAGACAATGGACTAACTCCACTTTAGCAGAAAAAAAACAACAACAAAAAACACATTTTTACAAACACCAAAGAGTACCCCAAAATACAACATATCCCCACAAAAGTCCCCTGATAGCCCCGATCTGGGTGCACAACATATTAAAAAAAATCACACAGATCGGTTCAGGAATTTCCTGGAAGTCTTATTTTTGCCCCACCATGCATATGGTCCCATGCCCAAAACAGTTCTATACACTCGACGACAAAATACTGCTGGACAATTTAAGATAGCCGCTGCCACATGTTTGAATCTGTTCCAGTTAAAAGTCCAAGGGGCAGAAACAGTACTTTGAACATGGGTTATCACAGTGCCCATAATCCCAGGGTAGGAGGCTGGCACGCAAGCCCCTCCAAAAACTCATGGCAAATTCCCTTAAAAGGGGAGTTTGTCACAGGAAGGTTGCTCTCTGCACAGAACGCAGAAATGCGGTCCTTCTTCGCATGGATAACAAGTAGTATGTATTAGGGTCGGAGGAATTGGTCCCCCTGTTTAAGGATCTTCTCTTCGGAGAACCCTTTATAAAGGAGCTTCATAAGCATGTGACTGTTCACCTCGATGGACAAAGCCCAGATTTCCATGAAGTGCGTCTTTCGCCCGTGAATCATCCTTCTTTCCATCCTACCATTCCCGGTCCTTCTACTCACAGAGATCGGACAGAGGTGGAGGAAGTAGAGCCAGAGGACATGCAAGACTATCTGCAGATGAGAGCACCTCCTGCCATTTCTCCTTCCCCCTGTTGCATGCGGGCCGGCTGTTTCACAGCAGGGACAAGTAGCGGGAGGTGTCCTCAGACGTGTGGGTACTTCAGACTGCTTGAGAATGTGTCATGGATTTTTCATCCCCTCCATAAGGGTGCTACAATCCCTGATAGGCAATGAGATTCGAGCCCTGTTCGACAAGGGCGCGGTCCAGTGGACTCCGGACATGCAGAGCTCGATTTTTCTGGTAAAGAAATAGTCTGGGGATTTCTGCCCAATGTTCAACCTGAGTGGTATACCGTTTCAAGATGGAGGACACCCATTGCCTACAGGACCTCCTCCGGCCGGGAGATTGGTTTGCAGGACGCCTACCTCTCTGTCCCAGTAGACAACAGGTGCCGAAGATTTCGCCGTTTCCTCAGGAAGGACGGACATTGCCAGTACACCTGTTTTCCTTTTGGCCTACGTGTGGTGGGTCTCCTCTCTGCATCGATCCAGGTGATCTACCCAGGCCCAATCCATTACAGGGGCATGCGGAAGCTGAAGGCTTGTTTTCTACGCAAGAGACCATCCTATGCCCAAGTGGTTTCCCTCACTATGGAGGTGAAGACCGAACTGTACTGTTGGCTCCTTCTCATGTTGGCCTGTACGGCAAGGTGATCTTCGGTCCGACTCAGGATTTTGTGCTAGACTCAGACGCGAGTTTTGGGGTTGGGGAGCCACCTGCACGATCAGTTCCACGGGGGGGGGGGGACCATGGTCAGAGATGGAGTCAGAGTTTCCGATTGCTCCATCCTCCTCCGGATGGACAATGCCTCGGCGGTGCAATGCTTCAACCGCCTGGGAGAAGCCCGCTCTTGGATTCTCTCGAAGGTTACGAAGGAGATCTAGAGCTTCTGCTTCCAATGCAACATTATTCTCTAGGCAGAATATTTGTCGGGGGTGTTGAATCTGACGATGGATTGGTTCTCCAGACATTGGAGGGATGGCAGCGATTGAACGATCTGTCGTCCGGTCGAGATCGCAGACCAGAGAGGTCCGTTCATGGTGGATTTTTTCACCTCCAGGATGAACTATCAGATCCCGGCCTGCTTCGGCTGCTCACGGATCCGGCTTGTTCAGCAATGGACGCTTTCCTTCAAGTGTGATTGTCATGGGGAGCTGATGCGTTTCCTCCATTTTCTGTGGTACCCAGGGTCTTACTGCAGGTTTGAGGCCGACGTGCATCTTTGGTCCTAGTTTCCGGATCTCCTGGACCTGTCCCATCAAGACCCACTGCTCCTGCCGTTCCCACTGCTGTCACAAACTCCGAGGCCTAGGTATTCATTTCTCTGGGATGTAAGCGATTTTTGTCGTTCCTCCAGAATTGGCCTGATACTCAGGACCTGCTCTTTGTCGACTTTTGGCTAATTTTCCCTCTTACTACGCCTTATTTCTTTGACGTGTTTTGGATGTCCGGGCCTTAGATGCAGACGCCTCCTTTTTCTCCGGAACTTTCAGGGTGTCTAGACGTACTAGTCGGATTTGACAGCTATATTCTACCCATTTTTCCATGACTCTCCTATACTCTGCGTAGCGACGACGCTGTCTCATTATGTGGCGATTCCTTCCCTCTTTGCCTTTCTTGTTCCGGTCAGTTATTGATTTTGTCTGTCAGAGCTATCAATCCAGTTTCAACTCCTACTTTGGCATGTTGGATTTATGTTTGGCATTGGCGGGGGTGAATTCGACCTTTGGAGCACTTTCGGTTAGAGGAGCAGAGGCCTCAGACGCCTGCATGCCGGGCGCATCTCTCCAGGACATCATGCGTTCAGCTACTGGTCCCGAGAAGATACCTTTCGACTCTGCTTATCTCATTACAGTTATGGTTCGTCTGCAGATCCGGGTTCAAGGCTTTCTTTGGGATAAAGTTCAAGGATGTATCTACTGTTCCACGTTCATTTCGAGTTTGGATGACATTCATCGGCTGACTTCGTTGGAGTTCTTACTATTCTACTATTGAGTTATATTGTTCATGTTCTTTGTTTTGTCACAGCTTGAAAGAGGAAGTAGTTGGTTGGAAGGGGCCTTTTCCTTACTTTTTTCTGATTGGTTGTTTTTCTCCATGTTAATGTGCTGCTGTTGAGTTCTAGTAAAGAGAGACTTAAGCAAATATTTGCCTCCTGTCATTAATAAAAGATTATAGTTACACTAAAGCTAGTATAACCTACAATTCTTAATAGACAGTAGTTAAAGCCATTCCTGCCTACTAGAATAGTTCTTTCAGCTATGCCTGATGTCTGAAGAAAAAATGCCTTGATCATTGACTCAATTGGATCAGTATTTACCATGCTGAACATTAGCACCTAGCTTCAGAAGGATATTGATACCTTAGAGAGGGTTCAGAGAAGGGCTACTAAACTGGTTCATGGATTGCGGGATAAAACTTACCAGGAAAGGTTAAAGGATCTTAACATGTATAGCTTGGAGGAAAGACGAGACAGGGGGGATATGATAGAAACATTTAAATATATAAAGGGAATCAACACAGTAAAGGAGGAGACTATATTTAAAAGAAGAAAAACTACCACAACAAGAGGACATAGTCTTAAATTAGAGGGACAAAGGTTTAAAAATAATATCAGGAAGTATTACTTTACTGAGAGGGTAGTGGATGCATGGAATAGCCTTCCAGCTGAAGTGGTAGAGGTTAACACAGTAAAGGAGTTTAAGCATGCGTGTAATAGGCATAAGGCTATCCTAACTATAAGATAAGGCTAGGGAATAATGAAAGTATTTAGAAAATTGGGCAGACTAGGTGGGCCGAATGGTTCTCATCTGCGTCACATTCTGTGTTTCTATGTTTAAATTGCCTTTATCCTCTGGAAAGAGACTTCCATCTGAGGAAACATTGCATCTGTCTGGCACAGGGACCTCTGGTGGAAGTCACAGACCTTATGCTTTAGATTACCAGGAGATGACCTAAGCATGAATAATCACCTAACCTGATTTTCTATAGCACTAAAACGCTGCACCAGTAGAGTTGTTAGCTCAGGTATGAGACCTCAATTTGAGTGAAGTCTTCCGGTAGAAAGCAAATGCTACAAATGTGGTGTGCTCTTATTGAACTATTCCTTCATTTAAACTATCAACTGTTCGGACCAGTTTGTATTTTTTTTCAAGTCAACGCTTATTTTTCACTCTGCACTCCTGAAGCATCAGAATAAAGTTTCAAGAACACCTTTCATTATTGGCGATGATATAATGACATACATGGCAGTGTCCAGACTACATTAGTGTATAAAGACAAAGAAGAAAACAAATATTTTGTAACAAAAGTCCATCCACCTGAATAGAAAAAACAGGAGTGAAAATAGAAAAAAGCCAAACCTAGAGGAAGGTTGATTACTAATTTTTTCCTCTACTAAATAACACTTCCTCAGTAGTAAAAGTTATTTTTAGAGGCTTATTTTTCTTTCCATTTTCTCTTTCCCCATCTGCACCTTTCTATTAATAAGGAGCCTTTTACAAAATGGGCAAATGTTAGACCTATTATCGCTTGAAACATGGGCCTCACTAATTGCCCTTTGACCTGGTTATATTTTCTTAGAAGGAATGTCACTGTACTTTAATTGTGGTTTCATTTCTACCTTGTCCCGCAAATCTTCAACTTGACGTATCTCTTCCTGTAGATTAAATATCCTGTCCACAAGCTCATGTCGATCCTCCAGTGCCTCCTTACGATCATGTTCAAGGATATCCAGTATTGCTTTATCAGAATCTGGTAAAGTTCTATTTCCATCCTATGGAAGAATTTATTTATTTAATGGATTTGAGTAGTTTACAAAATAAAAAAAAAAGATTATTTTTTGTACAATTATCAAATAAATGTCATACAAAGCATTGAAACAAAAATAGTGATACATAGAACAATAAGTGTCCATGATTTATATAAAAATATGAATGAAAGCAGGGCCGGCCTTTATGTGCCCTGTGCTAAAAATCTTCACAGCGCCCCCCCCCCCGCCATAATACATGTATAGTGTGTGTGTATATAGGAGTGTAGTGATTGTATAGGGTATTTATTAAATAATGATTTAAAAACAAAAATTCATTCATCCTTTCCTGTTACCTAGTTGGGAGAGGGGCATGCTGGTCTGAATCTGGTCTGCCACTCCACTGCGTACAGACCATACGTAAATGTCTTGCAAGCTCAAGGACTTTAAGTGTCCTGTGGTAATCTGCGGCAGTGCTCGGATTATCCCAAGCTAGAAAGACAGCTACTTATGGTCTGCAGCCAACAGAAGTGCCAGACTGCCTCCCCTACATTACAGAGGAGCAGACTAAGTATGTCACATAATACTGTGAGTAGTTTTGCTTTGGAGCTCTGGATTATACTTATTTATCTTGACCTCTTTGGAATAAAAATTAATAGTAATGTGCTACTTCTCCATTTATCACAGAGCTCCACAACAATAAAACTCCCAGTAATGTGGAGCTCTGTGACAAAATCATATACTACACATCAATACAACTCTACGTAATGTGCCTATTTGTGTATAACCGAGCTGCCTAACTATAAAACACAGAGTAATGTGCATTTTATATACCAGAGCTCCACTGTAATACATCTTACTATAATATGATGTTGTGTCAATTTACCATAACTCCGTTCCCCCGTGGTTACTTCCGTGTTCAGAACTGCTGAGTGATTCTGTCCCAACCTCGGACTCCACGCTGAGCTACCTCTTACTACATTAGACTTCCACAACCTCAGACTCTTTGCTGAGTTACCTCTTGCTTGTTTGAATTCTTCAACTTCGGACTCCACACTGAAGTACCTCTTACTTATTTTGGAATACTATACCATGCTGTCCTCATCTATTACCAGACCAGGATGGACTCCTTACTTCATTAACTCTCAAACAAACTGGATTGTTACTACTAAAATACCTGGATATATTAATCCCTTCAAAATCTACTAATAACTTCATCCTCAGGAGTTTCACGGAAAACCATAAGTATCTATCAATTTACTTCTTGCTGCAATTCTGCATATAAGTCTCATCAAATTCTATGTGCCACTTAACTACTAGTCAAGTTATTAAGAACTTCTGCTACTACTTAAAGAATTGTTACATTTCTACAATCTATTCAAAACTAATTCCTATGCTGCATTCTAACTCCTACTTTGCATAATTAAGGACATTGTTACTTTTTTCTTTTTTTACATTTGTTGCAACCAGAGCGTTTGGGCAAAGTATTTTTTCTTACTACATGCCAAACTGCAAATAAGTAATTATATTTGTCTTCAACTAAAATTCACTAAAGATAAATAAAGAAATAAAATCTCTCAAGGAATCCTAAAGTAAATTATTTTTTCTTTTCGTACTACCTATTAATTCTGCAGTTGTGTTCCTCCATCTTGTCTAACATTTCTGAAACATAACTCTCTGGATTTATGTTTTGTTACTACTCTGAGCCTTATTTGTAATGACATTCATCTCAACATATACAAACTACAATGAACAGCTGGTTCGTATACCGAACATTTTAACAAACCATTCGACCACCCAAAGCAGTCGTGTGCTGTCAATTGACCTATTTGACGCTATTCCAAACTACAACTCTGAACATTCTAAGTTGTTAACTGGGTGGCTGTCGATTTGCATGCACGAACACGTGGTGGCAGCCATCTTGTTTTGTCGAAGGCATCCAGCGGGGTTTGGTCGTCGAGTGTATGGAACTATTTGCGGACACTCAACGGCCCAAACACCGCTGAGACTTCCAGGACCACTTAGCTTCGTCATAATTCATCCGAAGGAGGCAGCATTCGGTAAAAACAACTCCCAAATAAAGATGCACATGACTACCTTACACATGAAAGATTATTCAAGATATTGTTCGACATTTTGAAATGCACGAAAGAGACCGGCCGCACCCGCTGAATTCATGAAACTATTCTGGGCAGGAGCCTCGTGTGCGGCTGGTCAGAAATGGGACTTCCATGTAACTTTAGAACCCCTGAACCAATTTGGGTGATTTTTGAATATGTTGTTCACCCAGATTGGGGATATCAGAAGATATATTTTTTTTAATGGGGTTTTATGTGATTTTTGGGGTGTTTCCAGAAATGTATAAAATATGTCCTTTTTTCGTTTGGAGGTAATGGAGTTGATACAGTAATTAACTCAATTTTTTTTTTAATAATCCCGGACGGCCATATGTGAGCACAGCTCGCACACCCCTAAGGTCAGCCCTGAATGGAAGTGACCTTATCTTGTACAAAAGACTGCCATAAGAATTGGAAGAATAGCTGACTGTCTTGTTGATATACTTTAATAATCCTAATTGAATATACTAGAATAGTAGAAAAAAAACCAGCAAAAAGTAAATATTTAAAATATGAACTACACAAAATAGGCACAAAACACATCCAACTATTTATTTAAAACAAAATAGGGTAAAAACCACTGAAGTACATTATATAGTACGAATGGTATGTCTACAAAGATGCATCACAATCGCTGATAGGACAGAAATATCAAATGCAAACAATGTTATAAAGGGAACCCATTTCCCTAGTTCCAACAGTTTGGTACCAAAGTCAGTCCAGAAAAAGAAAGATCATGGGGGGTGGAGCTTACCCGTTGAGCCGTACAGATGCACTTCGCAAGAGCTCCGGGCGATACGATAAAATACCAGAGATTTTGCTAAATGAACAATCAGTTAACAAGACCACTCCCAACACATCTGGAACCCATGGGCTGCAGTGTTCTCCTTCGGCTCAGGCTTGAATTGCTGATACTCAGCTGCCATAGGCGCGGTAGAAACTGCGACCTACAACACGTGGGCAGAAGGGAGGCAGCTTATGCTCCTAGGCTCATGGTTCCTTCATAAGACCACCAGAGTATATCCTACTAGTGAGGGTGATCCTTACTAGTAGGATCCCCCTCCAACTGCCCCCCAGAGATCATAATGGGGTGCAAACACAAGAAGCCTTACCAGATAGAGAGGCCTGGACTCCCAGACATCCGGCTGTCATTTGAACGAACAACACAGCCATTACCCATCAGAGTGGTGTCTGAACCCCAGAGTAAGCCAGAGGTCTCAGATAATTTGCATGATGAGGAGGAGACATGCACTTCACTTACTTCTAGTGGTGTGCACCAAAATGCTGATTCGGATGAGGATTCCTCTCCCTCAACAAAAGAAGACATCAAGAGGCTGCCCTTAGACAGGGCTGAAAGGCAAAACTGTAGAGAACCCAAGCTGAAATTGGTGTTTTGTAACAAAGTATCTGCTGTCGAGGAGAGAGAGAAGACACGAAACACCAGGTGAGTCGTCTAAACTCACATATTAAGAAACGAATCCTGACACCGCTACTGGAACATATGCTTGTGAGGCATCCCTGAAGAGATCGGCAGAAGAATAGCAACATCCTTGGGCATACAATACTGAGCAGAAGCTCCAGCTATTCTGTCCTCTATCAGAGTATGTAAAATCAGCTGCAGCACCAGCAGATGCACCTAGGGAAGTTATTGCCACTACAAGAGACATTGCAGTGAGAGCCGCTATTATGAACAAGTCTAGATGCTTGGGAAAAGTGACCTTTGAGAGCCACACAGTATCCATATACAGTGACTTCTTCTCCACCCTTGCAGAACACAGACAGTTTGCACCTATTGCCAGGGAACTCAGACACCACTCAGTTAAATACCTTTGGAACGTAGAGTAATATCTTGCTGTTACTTATGGCACTGAAATACTCACCTTGTCCTCCTCATATAACCCAGAGATGCTGCTCCATAAATTGGGCCTGAGAGCAGCCTTCACCGGAGAGGGAACTACCTGAGGAGACAAGCCGCAAGTGGGATGTATTGGAAAGAGGAGGCCCACAATGCAAATCAAAACGGCATTAATCAATCTCAGGCACCAGAGACATTATCATATTTTTATAGATCACATCCTAATTTTGTTGAACTAGAATGTCAGATGTCTGTCTAAATCTCTTTCCACATGCGAGAATTAGTCAGCCGACTGAAGTGTGTGATATGCTATATCTTTTACTGCAACTTACCTTCAAGATCTCTTCATACCTACTAGGTTTTCCTTATACTTTAATTTGAGTTATGAATGTTGCATTGCTCCCCAGCCTTGAAATATTCTTGATCTGTTTAGTTCCTTATAACTTGGTACAGTTGTATACTATATGTATGAACTCTAATAAACGTCAAATTAAAAAAAAGAAAAAAAAAAAAAAGAGGAATCACTTTCACTCTTGGTCGTAGCTTCTGGAGTAAAACAATCTATAGATCTATATCCTGCATGCCCCATAGATCACAAATTCTTTGATAGAGATCCAAATTCAGCTTCCACTCTCCATGGTCTACATAATTTTTGGCTCAGATAATCCATAGCTGTTTAGTAAATTTGAAGACCAAAAGTAGATAAGAGAAGCGAAACTAAAAATAATTTAGGGGAAAGAAGGGGAAGAAAGCGAAATGAGACACTAGGTGCAGATTAAAGAAAAGCACTACGAATAAATAAATAAATCACTCCACCAACAGATAAACCAGAGAAAAATAAACCGATCAATGTTTATTATTCACCCAAGTCAGATATTAATAAATCAGTGTCACAAAGGAGATCCCTCTCACCTATTTCTAGAGAGGGTTCTAACTTGTTAGTCTCTGACAATAATCCAATGGTCTCAGATAGTGAAGTAATCAAGAAAAAAAGCCTAACAGCAATAATGGATGAATTGTACGTAAAAATTAAAAATGATCTTAAACAGAATATGTCAGATTTGATCAAGGACATCTGTGTTGAACACAAAAAAAAAGAGACTCAAGACAGAAATTGTTAATGTTAGAGCGGAGATGTCCCTGTTTCAGACACAAAATAATTCCCTAGACAACAAATTAAAAGAATTGAAACTAGTTGTTGAGGTGGAAGATCGTTCTCGTTGCAACAACCTTAGATTCAAAGGAATCTCTGAAATTATAAAACAACCCATTGGAAAGAGGTCATAGAATATAAAGACCAAGTAATTCTGAAGACTCTAAACCGAGAGACGTACTGGTCAGATTTACCAATGGATATGTCAAAGTCCTTTTAAAAAAAACAAATGCAAGCAAAATCAGATTAAATTTTTTTTTTTTTTTAAATATGAAGGTGTTATGGTATTCCCTGACCTTTCTCTAGCCACAAGACAAAAACATGCAAGTTTAAAGGAGATCACTAAGAAACTAAGATCCAAAAATATTACTTATAGATGAGGGTTCCCAACAAAGTTGATAGTGTCATTTGAAGATCAATAGATCACCTTAAATGACTCAATTGAAGACTTAGCCAGACTTAAAGATAGGGGTATAATGGATTAGTTGTATATTTTAGCATTTTAACGTTATTTACCTATACTGACATGCAGCAAAGTATGTTTTTTGTTTTTCTTTATAGTAAGGTAGAAATTAATATATAGACTCTTTACATAGTTGTGTGTTATTTAATCTAAAGAAACCTATATGAATGGGGAAGTGGGATCACTATAACAAAAATTTGAAGTATTGAAATATTAAATTAAGTAAGAGAGGCAACAATATACCTAAATGGAGTATCACATTTTATTAATAATAAAATAAGATAACAAAATATTACTAGGATTTGTCATAGAGGAAATACGAGATTATATAGGGCAATCAAGATTAAACGGTTATTACAAGCAAAGTATACACTGGCTTTTGGAGGGGCCTGATTGCCAGCCTCCTACCCTGGGACTATGGGCCCTGTGATAATCCATGTTCAAAAGTACTGTTTCTGCCCCTTGGACTTTTAACTGGAACAGATTCAAACATGTGGCAGCGGCCATATTAAATTGTCCAGCAGTGTTTTGTCGTCAAGTGTTTGGAACTGTTTTGGGCATGGGACCATGTGCACGGTGGGGCAAAAATAAGACTTCAAGGAAATTCCAGAACCCCTTTTGGATATATTGTTCACCCAGATCAGGGCTATCAGGGGATGTGACTTTGTGGGGATATGTTGTATTTTTGGGTTTGTAAAAATGTATGTTTTTTCTGCTTAGAGTTAATTGAGTTAGTCTTTGTTAACTATATCACAGGCAGAGGGGAGGGCTTGCTGACGGTTTGTGAGAGTGTTACAGTAATTATTGTTCCTATTGGTTTGCGTCCCTTTTGTCCCTGTATTCCATCAGGTCCAGGGGGGGTGCCTCTGGCCTGAAAATGTGTATAAAAGAAATGCCTTTGTGCTCAATAAACCAGACCTTCTTACCCTCATCTTGCAGCCTCGTCTCGTGTTGTAGGGAACAGCTACAACTGCTATATCACTGCTAGCTCTTGTAAGAGCTCTCTTCAGCTATACTCTCCTGGAGGAGAGGTCCTTCCCACAGCTATACCCTCCTGGAGGAGAGGTCCTTCCCACATGGTTCTGGATCCAGAGGTTGGACCAGGGTGGGATGGAGACGGCGAGATCCCAACCAAGCTACAGCAGTTCGTGGTGTCTGCAGTGGCTATGGTGTCCGGTGCGGTGCTGATGGTCCTTGAGAAGCACTAGGAGCATCCGTCAGCGGAGGTACCCAGCCAGGGTACAGGGAGTTTCGTCACATACACAATTTGGGATAATAAGAATTATGAAGCTAGAACAATTTTATTAAGGTACACATTTAGAAATGTATTGAAAATGTGTTTTTTGTTTTCCTTATCAAAGTTATACCTACTCCATCTAGGCAATTAAAAAACACTATCAGAACCTATAAGAGTAAATTAAGATTAAAAATGGTACCACCAATGCTAATAGTTATATTAGAGCAACTAATATAAGTATCGAACCCTAGTGTTAATAGTATTTTTTTACCATAATTCTCAATGAAAATATGAACTATTGACTTTTGGTTAACAAACTAGAAGCATAGCCAGGTTAAGTTAAACTTGCTAAAATTTCTACCAAAGATATTGATAAAGATAGAATTATAGGCATTATCGCCACCAGCGCTTGTGTACCCCCCGATGAGGAGTATGTATGAATCTCAGGGGAACCGCCAGATAGGTTACTATCGAAGGCGGAGTATCGTATTTTTTTTAAATGTATATATGTTATGTGTTTGTGTAAATATGTATGGCTTTATACTACAAGGTTGTTTGATGCACTCGGGAGGCTGAGAAAGGACGAGAGCGTTTGTAGTTCGATCCAGAGGGAGTTTCGTTTAGGAAGTCACATTCAATCAATGTCAATTAAAATATCATCCATAAATGCCCAGGGGTTGAATAATCCTATTAAGAGAGGTATATTATACAAGAAGTTAATAGATGATAATATATATGATATATGTTTTATACAAGAATCCCATTGGAAAGACAACACCCAAAATCAATGGAAATTTTCCAAATATCCAACTGTTGTGTGCAAACTTAAGGAAAAAAAAAATAAAAAAAAAAAAATCAAGTTTGAATTACTATTTATAGAGAGATCCTAATAGTAGATATTTGATAGTAATATGCAAAGTAAACGATAAAATACACACCTTGGCAAATGTATATGCTCCAAATGAGATTCGCAAAAATTTTATAAAAAGATATGTAGTAAGATTGATAAAGTCAAAAAAGGTATACTCCTGATAGGGGGAGACTGGAACACTGTTTAAACGAAAAATGGGACAAAATAAATAAATAATCGGCTACAGTATGTAAAAGGATGAAAGTCTATAAAATAAGGGCTGAATGGTTGCAAGATATTCTTAAGCAAAACAATCTTTGACATATGGAGAGTCCAGCACCCTAACGAAAAAGATTATGCTTTCTATTCTAAAACTCATAATAGTTACTCTTGAATAGATTTTTTCTTGACTGATTCAGTAAATCTAAGTAACTTCACAAACTCATATATAGGTCCTATCACTTGGACTCCAATTGATGTCTAAATTAAAAAAGACCTGGCCTATAAAACCAGTTATCAGTGGAGAATAGATGAAACAACTTTACTCAATAAAGATAATAGAGATCGTTAAGATTTATTAGCTAAGGAATTCATAGAATTTAATGATAAAGATAATGTTTCCAATGAAACACTATGGTCAACGTTTAAATTAATAATAAGAGGCAACTTAATCCAAGTAGAAGCTAGAGCAAAACAAAGAAGGAAGCTAAACTATCAGATTTATACATAAACCTGGCTAAAATTGAACAAGTTAACAAAAAAAAAAATCCGTCCACATAAATAGCTAATCAAATTAAAACAATTCAATTACAGATAAATCTATTGCTTATAGATAGGGTAAAAAATGGTTAGGTCTTGTAAACAAAAATGGTATTGTAGTAGCAATAAAGTAGGGAAGTTACTATCAAAAAACTTAAACCAGAGAAGAATAAACAATCAATAAAAAAAAAAAAAAAATTATATAAAGGATGTAAAAATCCTGTCTCCCCAACAAATAGGGAATGTTTTTGCAAATTACTACGTGTCCTTATATAATTTACCTGAAAACAAATTTACAAAATTTGAGCTTAATTTTTTTTAATAAAGTCACTCTTCCTTTAATTAAGCCAGATAAACTAATAGAAATAACTGTGACAGATCCCTCTGTCTTGGAACGGTGTTTGTATGCCAACCACGAGGCGGTGGCCATCTTGGACGCACAAATAATCAGCGGTGTTCGTCGATTTCCTGGAGCTGAAAACTGACACTTTCTCCCTAACACTGCTGAGACCGCTGACCTCCCTTCTGTGCCTTCCAGCATACGAATGCCGGTCTGTTCGGTACTTTTCTGCACAAAATTACTTACCCCAGATAGCCATCCCATGGAGCCCGTTCGTATACCGAAAGACAACGTGAAATACTTTGGCTCCATGGCGATTGAACTGTGTGTATAGGATCTGAGCGCCATTCAGTAATAATGTGCGCTCAGATCTAAGCTATCTGGGGATACGTTAAATGTGGTTATTCTATTTGTGTAATTTGGAGTTATTGATTTTTATATACTTTTATTATGTACAAAATGGAGTTTGGCCTCTATCCGTGGAGATAATTGGATTACTTCCCAATTATCTCCAGGAGAGAGAGGAGGCTTGTTCTCAGCTAAAGGAGAGAGTGTTTATGCTTGTGCCACGGTGATTGCCTACTATATCCATATTGTCCCAGTCTTCCATTTGGTCCCCTAGGGGAGTGTCCACCAAGTGGGAGACCTGCATAAATACCGGGCAGGTAGCCCTCAATAAATCAGATCTCGGCTTAACTCTCAATACGGAGCTTGGTCTTGTACTTGGGGGTATTGGATTCGTATGGTTTACTCGTTCGGCTGTTTGATACATGAAGGATTTCGTATGGTTCCTGTGACGAGAGCAATCTCGACACATTGCATTGGAGAAGCCTGGTTGCTCGCCTGTTGCCTTTGGATTATGGCCCCATGTTAAAAGGCTTGATTTTCCCCTGCAAAGACAAGAAAGCCGGGTCATTTGGTGCTTGCCCTGTTTGAGCAGTGATACCCCAGATAACTATGCCATGGAGCCCATTCGTATAATGAAAGACTATGGGAAAGACTTTGGCTCCATAGCAATTGAACTGTATGTGTGTGCTCTGAGCGCCATTCAGTAATAATGTGCGCTTAGACCTAAGCTATCTGGGCATATGTTGCATGTCTGTATTTTATGTCATAAATGTAACCTTGTGTATTTTATTGTATTTTACTGTCTTTTGCTGCCATGTGTTCAATGGAGTTTTGCCTCTGTCTTTGGAGATAATTGGATTACTTCTAATTATCTCCAGGATAGAAGACTCTGTGGAACTGGTTTTGGGCAGAAAAGACATGCTTCATTTGGTCACAAAGGACTACGATCTATCTTTTGAACCACTGGACCAATTTGTATGATTTTGACGTATGTTTGTATTTGGAGTATGCTGATTCTGAAAATGTAAGTTTTATGTGAATGTGATGCATACTTTTCAAGTTATGAATAATGTGGGAAAAATTGTATTTCTCTGCTTGTGCTAAATTACATTACCCATTGTGTAAGGTAATTGAATCACAAGCAGAGGGGAGGAATTTGTGTGGGAGTTTCTGAGTGTATTGTATGTGTTTATTGGTTGTGTTCCAAAACCCTGTGGGTGGTACTAATGTGTAAGAATGTGTACATAAGCACAATAAATCCACAGCTCTGGCTGTTCACTGCTTGACCCACAACACGGAGCTTTGTCTCGTTCTGGGGGTGGATTTATTGTATGCTGTTCCAGTTTGACTGCTAGGAGTGTAAACCTATTCGTATGGTTTTTTCTATTCTGCTGTTTACACCATTCATATGGTTTCCTGTTCGGCGGATTGGTGTTCTGCAGTAGCTGTGCCTGCATCTCTGGAAGGGGACCATCGCCTAAACGGTTTTAACCCCTTGTGTGCTGAAACGGTCCGTTACAGTTCCTGTTCGGCTGATTGGAGCTTTCGCTAGCTGTCTCTCCATTCGGAAGGTGAACGTCCTCAGCGGTATTAACCCCTTTTATACCTGGGTGAACCGTAACAATATATCGACTGCCTGGCCCAGATGGCTATACTGCCTTTTTTTTAAAAAGACATTTAAACCTATAGTATCTCCTATGCTTTATAAATGGTTTATCAAATTAAATCTTACAAAAAGCATCTCTCCAGAGCTATTAAGTGCTACAGTATCGCCTATTCCTAAACCAAAAGATACAAACTTTGTTACCAACTACCACCCGATCTCCCTTATAAACTTAGATATAAAAATATAATCTAAAATCTTAGCTAATAGCCTAAGTAAAGTTATTCCAGATTTATTAAGTGACGATCAATCGGGGCTTGTAAGGGGAAGATTGTGAGGAGACACTCTTCCGAAAATTGCAAACTTAAACTTGAAGATCAATAAGGGAAACCTACCAACTGTTTTTATTGCTGTCGACGCCGAAAAGGCGTTCGACAGAGTGAGTTTGCAATTTTTGGATGAAACATTGACAGCATTTGGAATTGTAGGTACTTTTAAAGACCTAGCCATGTCACCATATACTTATCCTAAGGCAAAGGTACATGGCAATGGATTGAATTCACATTGGTTAGACATGAAGAATGGTACTATTATTAGGATATTTATAGAGCGCCGTCAAATTCCACAGCGCTTTACAATGGGTGGATGAACAGACATGTAGTTGTAACCAGACAAGTTGGACACACAGGAATAGAGGGTTGAGGGCCCTGCTCAATGAGCTTACATGCTAGAGGGAGTGGGGTAAAAGGAGACAAAAAGGTAAGGATAGTATTAGACTAGTGACAGTTGCAGAAGAGGAATCAGTCAGGAGCTTTTAACAGTTTAATTCATATGCTTTTATGAAGAAGTGGGTTTTTAACGATTTTTTGAAGGAGTGGAGACTGGGTGAGCATCTAACGGAGGAGGGAAGCGAGTTCCACAGGAACGGTGCAGCCCTCGAGAAATCTTGAAGGCGAGCATCAGAGGTGGGAACACGGACTTAAGATAGATGTAAGTCTTCAGCAGATCGTAAGGGCCTAGACAGGACATACTTGTGTATAAGGGAGGATAGATAGGTGGGAGCAGCATTATGTAGAGATTTGAAAGCAAGAACCAGAATTTTAAATTGAGCTCTATATTTTATAGGAAGCCAATGTAGGGACTGACAGAAGGGTGAGGCATGGGAGGTGCGGGCGCACAGGAAGATGAGCCTCACCGCCGCATCCATTATGGACTGTAACAGCGTAAGTTGAGAGCACATAAGACCACTGAGAAGCAGATTACATTAGTCAAGTCAAGAAAGGACAGTGGAATGGACCAACACCTTAGTCGCATCTGGCTTAAAGTAGGGGCAGATGCGCGCAATGTTTTTGAGATGAAAATGACAGGATTTGGCGATAGATTGAACATGAGGCTTGAAGGAGAGGTCGGAGTCAAAGAGAACACCAGGGCAGCGAGCCAGCTTGGTGGAGCTGATGGTAGCACCGTTGACTTGGAGGGAGACAGACACAGGAGTAACAACACTTGAGGGAGGAAAGACCAGAATTTCAGTTTTGGTCAAGTTTAGTGTAAGGAAGTGGGCAGCCATCCAGTTAGAAACAGCAGAGTGGCAGTCAGAGACACTAGTCAAGAGGGACGGGGAGAGATCAGGAAAGGACAGGTAGATTTGCGTGTCATCCACATAGAAATGATATTGGAAGCCAAAGGAGCTAATGAGTTTACCAAGGGAGGCAGTATAGATGGAGAACAGTAGAGGACCAAGGACAGAACCTTGGGGGACACCAACAGAGGGAAGTTGGGGAGAAGAAGCAGAGCCAGAGAAAGAAACACTGAAAGAATGCTGGGAGAGGTAGGAGGAGCACCAGGAGAGAGCAATATCTTGTAGACCAATATTGCGGAGGATGAGAAGAAGCTGTTGATGATCAACAGTGTCAAAAGCCGTAGACAGGTCAAGGAGAATTAGGAGAGAGTAGTGACCACTAGATTTTGCAGCGAGTAGATCATTGGATACTTTTGTCAGTGCCGTTTCCACAGCGGGTCTAGCAGAGAGTTGGACTCGAGGAAGTCTGTCAATCTCGCATACACAATTTTTTCAAGGATCTTGGATGCAAAAGGCAGTAGCGAGATAGGACGATAGTTGGATGGGGAGTTATGGTCAAGATTAGGCTTCTTTAGAATTGGGGTTACAGTTGCGCGTCAAGAATGCCCTTTGGCGCTGCTGATGTACGTTCTTTCTATCGAACCTCTCGCTGCATATATCAGGAAATCAAAAAATCTCAGGAATACTAACAGGAGAGAGTGAGCAAAAAAATAACTATTTGCAGATGATATAATAACTCTCACTCACCCGGAGATCTCTATCCCTTCAGCAATGCAATGTATAGACAACTTTAGTCCCTTTTCTAACTATAAAATTAATCTACAAAAAACTCAAATAATCTTCTGAAACTTAACCCAAGATCAGATAAAATTATTTAAGTTAAAATATATATGCAATTGGGATTCACAAAAATTATTTTGGAACTATAAATCAACTTAGACATAGAAACCTGGGTAAATTTAAATTATCTTAAACTATTTAAAGTTTTGAAGGATCAGATAAAAAGGGGAAATTCACAATTTGCCTGGGGGTGGTATGGGGAGCTAAGTAGGGATTTAATCTGGCAGACCTTTGACAATTGGTGTGTAAAGTCAGTGGTGAACTGGGTCCCTTGATCTGAGACAGTGGCGGATCCAGGGGGGGGGGGCAACGGGGCAATTGGCCCCCCCGAGAAATCCGCCGGTCTCCCTCCCCTGCCAGCCGTGCAATGTGCCTGCGGACCGGGGAGGAAGATCAGAGATCTCCCTCCCCGGTCCGCAGGCACTGTGCTGACAGCCGGCGGCGGAGGGAGAAGGAGGACCCGGAGCTCAGTCTGCAGCTACTCCGGGTCCTCCTCTCGTGAGATTTGGAGCGTTGCCGCGGTTACCACGGCAACGCTCCAAATCTCGCGAGAGTGAACTCAAGCCTGGGAGCGCGGGCTAGAGTTCACTCTCATCACCACTGGGACCACCAATGAATCCCCCTCCGGACCACCAATGAATCGCCCACCGACCACCAGGGAAATGTCCCCCCTCCTCCCCAGTAAAGGTAAGAAGGGAGGGGGGACATAATGATTATTTTTATTAAACTAAATTAAAAAAAATATATATTTTTTAAAAAGCCCCCCTACCCTTATCACACACACACACACACACATACACTGATCCCCATACTGCCCTCCCATACACCCATACTGCCCCCCCATACACACACTGCCCCCCCATACACCCATACTGCCCCCCTATACACACATTATGCCCCATACTGCCCTCCATACACATATACTGCCCCATACACACACTGCCCCCATACACATTGCCCCCCATACACCCATACTGCCCCCCTACACACATTGCCCCCCCATACACCCACACTGCCACCCATACTGCCCCCCTATACACACATTGCCCCCCATAGACACATTGCCCCCATACTGCCCTCCATACACCCATACTGCCCCTATACACACACATTGCCCCCATACACCCACACTGCCACCCATACTGCCCCCCTATACACACATTGCCCCCATACACCCATACTGCCCCCTATACACATATACTACCCATACACACACACATTGCCCATACATACTGCCCCCATACACACACATTCCCCATACTGTCCCATACACATATTGCCCCCATACACATATACTGTCCCCCATACTGCCCCCATACACACACATACTGCCCCCATACACACACATTGCCCCCATACTGTCCCATACACATTGCCCCCACACATATACTGTCCCCCATACTGCCCCCATACACCCACATTGCCCCCCATACACACACACATTGCCCCTATACTGTCATACCCCACACTAGCCCCCATACACACACTCTAGCCCCCATACACACACTCTAGCCCCATTACACACACACTCTAGCCCCCCATACACACACTCTAGCCCCCCCATACACACACAGCCCCCACACATCTAGCCTCCACACTCCCCCACACACTACACACATACACTCCCACACTGTCCCCATACACACATGCTGCCCTGCCCCCATACACTGCCTCATATACACACACTGCCCCCCATACACTACCCGATACACACACACTGCCCCCATACACTGCAATACTCACACACACATTGCAACTGTTACACTGCCGCCCTCACACACACACTGCGCACACACTGTCCCCCTCTCACACACACACACACACACTGCACCACTCACACACACACCACTGCTCCTATGCCCTACTACTGCCCCATTTCCCAGCAGACCTCAGGTAAGTTGTCAAACTGTTCTTAAACGGTTTGACTACTTACTCTGGGAGGGGGTCCCGGCATTATTGACACCATAACCACTACACTGAGCTGTAGTTGTTATTGTGTCTGGATTATTTCTTTAAATAATCTACAAGTGCCCCTCCCGAGATCAGGCTCTGGATCCGCCACTGATCTGAGAGGATCTCTTTAGGGAAGCCCACTCGAGTGAATATCCAGACTAAGGCATTGGCAACGGTGTCTGCCTGAATATTGGCTAGAGCGACGGCTTCGGTTAGCAGGTGGCATTCCACCACGGTAAGTATAAATCGTTTACCGGATGGACTAGGCTGTGACGAAGTGCCCTTCGCCAATTGTGCCCTTCGCCACTTGTTACTAATTGCCAGCCTCCTGCCTTGTGACTATGGCCCCTGGGATATATTAAAAATTCTATTTTAGCAGATTGGATTTTAAAAGACTTTCTGCCCCTTTAATTCCATGAGAAAATGTGCCTCTTCCCCTCCCCCTTTTTCCTGTCTATTGTTTCTCCAGCAGGGTGTTGTACCAGGGACACTGCAAGACCAGTTTAAACTGGCTTTGTCCCTCCTCAATCTCTCATCAGCCCTTGCTAAACTTTAACCCCATGACGATTTTATTCTGTTCGTGGGATCTGAGCGCTGTTCCGATATATTGAGCGCTCAGATCCAAGATATCTGGGGATAGGTTGAATGTGGGGGTTCTGTTCAGTATAATAGGAATTATGTATTTTTACTGTTGTAAATGGAGATAATTAAGTTACCACACCCATTTAAGCCAATTATCTCCAATCTGTGGAAATGTTTTGGGCAGGAAAGTCATGCTTGCAGTCGGGCAAATAGGACTTCCACCTAACTTTTGAACCACTGGACCAATTTGTATGATTTTGACATATGTTTGTATAGTGCTTGTGCTGGTTCAGAATATGTGAATTGTATAAATCTGTATATTTTCCTGCCTGTGATAATTACGTTAGCCCACTGTGTTTAGTAATTATAGCACAGGCAGAGGGGAGGATTTTGCTGTAATGAATGGGAGTGTCTGATTGTACTGTACGTTGTTGATTGGCTGTTCCACAAGGCCACATGGGTGGTAACCTTGTGGAGAAATGTATATAAGAGCAATAAAGCCGGCTAACCTGTTTCTGCCCTAAGACTATACTTATTGAGGGAGGGGTCGGCCCTAGTTTCTCTACCAAAAACTCTTTTGGGGTATCCCAGGCTACCCTTGACCCTCGTCGTGGCTAGGATTTTTGTCAAGGGGTCCGTATGTCTTACCTGGATCTCCCCGACCAGTGGGTTGTACTCAGTGGTGCGAGCTTGGGCACGGGTGGTGATGGGATGGGCAGCTGCAGTAGGAGCACAGGCTGATGTGAGGTTGTTGCCCAGCAGTACTTCGGCTGGAAGATTGTCCATGATTCCCACTTGTCCATGATTCCCACATGCACAGTACCAGATTCGGCTGCCCAGTTTAGATGAACCTGGGCAGTGGGAAGCCGATATATAGCTCCTTCGGCTACTCGGATGGAGTCAGTCTTTCCAGCGCGGTCCACTGCAGATTGGGTGTCGCTGTAGAAGGGTTAACATGACCCCAGTGTCTCAAAGGTCCTGGGCCGGTTGCCCATTGACTAGGACCTCTTGGCGGTGGTGTTGCCTGTTGTCCCGAGCGGCCACTTGGATGGGGTCAGCCTCATATAAGACCCCTAAGTATTCCTCGGCCTCTGGTTCAGCCTACAAACAGTGAGCAGCTGGTGTAGGTTGTTGCCGGGTTGGTGATCGTCCCTAGTTGGATCTGGGTGGTTCCAGGGGACACAGTTGTTACGGATATGCCCCAGTTGTTGGCATCCATGGCACCTGATACTGGATTGGTTCTGCTGGAACCTAGAGGGTGCGGAATAACGAGCAGGGACTGGAGGGACCAGAGCACAGAATTCTGTTTACAACGGCCGGCTCGGAGCGAGGACGTACAGCGGTTGGTTCTTGGCGCCTGGTATATTCGTCAGCCAAGTGAGCCGCGTTCTGGAGGGTGAGTGGCTGTCTATCCTGTACCCACTCTTCAGGCCCAGTTGCAAAGCTCCTAGAAAATGTTCCAGCAAAAACCGCTGCAGAACCTCTTCCCCTGTTGCTGCTTGACACCCCTCCACCCAATGCAATGTAGTTCGGTGTAGAGTGCAGGCCCACTCAGAGCCTTGTTGGCTTTACCCAACAATTTGCCAGATAAAATTGTAACCCATTCCTCTGGGGGTACTTGATGGAGCACACATTGCGATTCAAAAATCGGCCTAAATATCTGTCTATTTCCCCATTTGTCTCTTGGAAAGCTTTAAATGCTGCAAACGGCACCTTTTTCCGCTCACTGTGGTATACAATTGGTAGTACCGCTGGACTTTCTGTTCTTTGTGCGGTCAGTACCTGCAGTTGCCTCCTCCATTGCTCCCTCGCCTCCTCCATTGCTGCGTTGAGGAGTTGGGTGACCAGCTTCATAGGTGGATTTCATCCATAAAGTGCCAGCCATTGCACTACTCTCTGGATCTTGTCCTCCTCTCCGTTTGGTAGGTTTGGCCATCGTGTTGGTTCGGTCCAATTCGACCAGTTCGGCTATCAGCTCCCGTCGTGGTCGGTTACTAGCCGAACATCCACGGCTCTCTAGCAAGTCTTGCAGCGTCAGTCGTTTTTCTCATACTGACTCCATTAGTGCAGTACCTCCTCTGGGAAGACAAGACCATCCCACCGCTGCCACCAAATGTAGCAGTTACCCCGATGAGTGGAGGGGTTCCCACCACTAGAGGGTGTCCTTCTCCCGAGTATGAGGGGTATTCACAGCATTCCAGTAGTCATCCAAGTAGTGAAGCTCTTACAAGAGCTGGTGTGATAGCTGTATAGCAGTTTCCCCCAAATAAGAGACAAGACTCTAGATTGAGGGTGAAGTAGAACTGATTCTTTTATACACGTTTTCCCACAAGGTTACCACCCACATGGACCTTGTTGGGCATCGAAAATACAAACTCAACAACCAATAGCTTACAGTCACACAGTTAAACACTCCTATTCATTACTGTAAATTCCTCCCCTCTGCTTGGGAGATAATTGAGTTAATTGCTGTATCAACTCAATTATCTCCAAGCGAAAAAAAATACACTTTTTACTTACTTTTTATAACCTCAAAATTATATATTCAATTTTCATAAAACTTACATTTTCAGAACAAGCATAATTGGGGAACAAACATATTAAAAAATCCTGCGAATCAGTACAGGGGTTCCGGAGATAGATTAAAGTCTCTTTAGACCGACTGCACGCATGTTTTCACACCCAAAACAGTTCCACAGATTCAGGCTGTGCGGCCGGTCTATCTTCCCCTTCAAATAAAATATAAATTGCACAAACGCATCCGTTCAGGTCCACTGTCATTAGATACGTCTTGTTCGGGAGTTTGTTCTCCAGAATTAGAGCTCCGTTCGTATGGATTTAGCTGAACGCACGGAAGGTAGAAGTCTCAGCGGTGTTCATGGAAATAGTAGCCGAAACTAGTTCCATGCATTCGACAACTAAACAAAATGGCCACCGCCACGTTTTCATGCAGATGAACGCCGACGCTGTTGATCAATTAGAACGTTAAGGTGTTCGTGGTTTTGGAGGTGTTAATATGGTCAGGGAGGTTAATGGATGCCACACTCCTGTTCTGGGTCGTTCAGCAGAAAACTCAGGATTCGAATGGCTTTTAGCACAATAAAGGTCTTTTTACTTTAGACAAACGGTTTTAAACTAACAGATTTTCCAAGTTTTAGAAATCAGGGACAGAGGGTCTGTCACACTTCCTAAATAACATGTACTCATTTAAGTCCCACCCAGTGTCTGTTATGCCTATTATATCATATTGTTTGGTGTATGCTATTGCCTCTAGTACCCCCATTTTGTTATATGGGCTCCTTGCATTAGTAAGTGTGGCGGAACCAGCCTCGCCACTGGGTATTGGAGAAGACTGATTGCCAGCCTCCTGCCCTGTGACTTTGGCCCCATGTTGAAATGCTGGCTTTTCCCCTGCAAAGACCCGAAAGCCGGGTCATTCGGTACTTTCCCTATGTGAGCAGTGTTACCCCAGATAGCCATGCCATGGAGCCCATTCGTAGAACGAAAGACTATGTGAAAGACTTTGGCTCCATTGCAATTGAACTGTATGTATGTGATCTGAGCGTAATAATTTACGCTCAGTTCTAAGCTATCTGGGGATATGTTGAATGTACCCGTTTTATGCAATCGCTGCACAGTTATCCATTTTTATTGTATTTTGCTACCATGTGGTTAATGGAGTTTTGCCTCGGTCCTTGGAGATAATGGGATTACTTCCCAATTATCTCCAGGATAGAAGACACTGTGGAACTGGTTTGGGGCAGAAAAACCATGCTTCATTTTGTCAAATAGGACTTTCCCTTAACTTTTTAACCCCTGAACCGATTGCCATGATTTTTGAGCATGTGTATATTTCAAGCATGCAGATTCTGAAAATGTATGTTTTATGTGAATGGCATGTATATTTTTAGAAGTTATTAATATTTTGTAAAAACGGTTGGGGGAATTGGATTGTATGCTGATTGCCAGGAGTGTAAGCTGATTGTATGCTTTTCCTGTTTAGCTGCTTACAGCATTCAATGCTTGAGAGCATTCGTATGCTTCTCCGGTTCAGTGGGTGTGGTGTCTGCTGCAGTGCTTGGAGTCCTCAGGAGGCGCTAGGAGCATCCTTCAACGGAGGTACCCAGCCGGGGTGCCAGGTGATCCGTTACAGTAGGCATACATTTAATATCATGAGTCATTTGTACTGCCAAAGTATTAGTAAGAAGGGCACTATACCACTGCATTCTTCCTTAGAAATGGTACCCGCCTGGGTTACCCTTCCCCTTCACTTTTCTTTGTACTCAGATGTAACCATTGTATTGTGATGATAGTGAGATCCTTAAACTTTATTCTCTCTTCTGTAGACGAGAGTCACCTTAAGAGCAGATTTCTATTCACTTGGACTTCCCATGCGATCAACTACCTGGGAATCATGGTACTTTCTAATCCATCCCATTTATATGAACTTGACTTTCCTCCAATATTATCAGTAATAACTAAGAACGTAACCACTTAGAACCTGCAACATTTTAATATGTTAGGGAGGATACACATTAAAATAAATTCTCTTCCATGGATCCTATACTTACTCCATGCGCTACCTATTCAGATTCCACAGGTCTTCTTTAGCTCGGTGTGCACATCAGTCACTAAATTCATATGGGCTAGCAAACTTCCACGTAACAACTACACAACTCTTTGTCAACCACAGGTGGGCCTGGGATTTACCCGATTTATGTCATTTAACATATAGGGTGTGATAAGGTGAATGGGGTGGTCTTTGAGGGAGTTTATATTTCGATTGAATTGTTCAGAGAGGCATATGATTTTTAACCCCAGGGGGAGTGTGTGTTTGTGTGTATATAACCGAAATGAATATTTAGTTATGGTCCCCTGGGGTGGAGCATTTGGTGGGCCAGTGCTCCACTCCGCAGTTTAGTAGTTTTCGTGGGAGACATAGGTCCAGGCCAGGGTTTTTGGACTGTCTCCAACCCACTACTCAGCTGCAGGTAATCAGCTGCAGCAGTGGGAATAAACCCCTTCCTGCTAGGCAGGTAAGAGAAGGTTTGTTTCTCTCTTGAAGAGCTGGAAGCAGCAGTCTGACTAAACACTGGAGTGCTGACAAAGACACTAGGTTGGTGAAACCAATATTATTTTGTTATAGTTTAACCCCTGAGAGCTAGGGAATCTGATGTTAGTGCTCAGACGAGCTAGGTTTTTGTTTATAGGGATTTTGTTACATTATTGTTTTTTTTCCCCATTTACTGCTGTCTCCTGTGTGGATTTAAGTTACTTTTAAAGACTGCATGTTTGTACCCAAAAGGACCGTGCTAAATGCAGACAAGGATAACAAGGGGTTATACTAACAAACATTTATATGGGGACAAACAATGGATAGATCTTGAAAACCAATGTGAATACATCCCCTTCAACAACAATTAGTTATAAAATATTTTTACCAGGATGGATACATTGAGATTTCTATCATTTTCATGTATGTCCTGGGTCCACAAAACATCGCATTGTTACAATATTACAAACATTCAATATACAAACTATAAATATATACACATATATACATTTAATACATAAGTAGTAATAAATATATTCAACCATGATAGGTGCATTCTGTGCTGAGGTATATTGCCATAGATCTCTTAAAAGATTTTAGATTGAATGAAGATTTGACTGTGTCCCTGAGGTTATTCCATACTGTTGCTCTGTAGTAAAAAGAGGATTGAGACACTTTATTTTTGTATTGCGGTATGCAGCCGGGGAGAGCCTGCTACTCAGGTAGGGTGGGAGCTTCCTATAAATGCTGTTATGCACAAGGCTGGAAAGAGGAAGAGTGCGTCGGGATTCCAGCGACAGCTAGTTTAGCTTGTTTAACCCCTTAAGGACCAAACTTCTGGAATAAAAGGGAATTGTGACATGTCACACATGTCATGTGTCCTTAAGGGGTTAACATGTCACAGTGGTGGGTAAAGTAATTACATTCTAGTAAAAAGCAGAACGAATTATAGAACGTATTAAGTTTATTAAGGTAGGTTTGCGGTGCGGGTGCATACCCTACATCCCCATAATCAATGACCGGCATTAGCATTTGCTGCACAATCTGTTTCCTTACTGTATGGCTTAGGCAGGATTTGTTTCTGCACAGGGTACCTAGTTTTGGGTAAAGTTTTGAAGAGATTTTTTTCAATGTGAAGGCCAAAGGATAGATTGAGGTCTAGCAACATACCTAGATATTTAAAAGAGCAGACTGCTGTCAGTGTGCTATTTGAATTTGTTCTGATACAGAATTGTTGATTTTGTAGTTTACGTAATTTAGGTACAGTTCCAAAGATCATTACAATGGTTTTCTCAGTGTTTAGGAAGAGTTTGTTATCCACTATCCACTTTTCTACCTCTGAATTGGTTTTGGAGCACAGCCTCAAACTGAAGTAGCTCTGGTTTACTGTCGTAAATTACAGTGTCGTCTGCATACATGTGTACAGTTGATTTGCAGATCCTTTATAAATAATGTGAATAGCAGGGGGCCAAGTATGGAGCATTGGGGAACACCACACGTAAATGGAAGAGGGAGGGAAGAGCTATCAGAAATGGCAACATATTGCAATCGGTCTAAAACATACGATCGAAACCAGGTTAGCTGATTAAAACCAATGCCTGATTTTTTTTTTTTTTTAAGTTTGTGCAAAAGAATGCCATGGCCTACTGTATCAAAGACCTTGGCAAAATCAAGGAAAAATAGCTCCAGTTAAGTCTCCTTGTTCCATGCCATTTTGGATGTCATTGCAAACTTGAGTCGAAGTTGAGTGATTTGGACGAAAGCCTGATTGATCAGGGGTCAGATAATTTGATAATATTCACAAAGTTGTGTGTGGATGCATTTTTCCAAGATTTTTGACAATACAGGGAGCATGGATATCGGGCGATAGTTAAATACCAAAGTATTGTCACCACTTTTATGACAAACCACAACCCTTGAGGCTATTTGTCCTCCAGCACACCCTTCTATTGCCCCAACAATCTGGAGAAAAAACATTGGATAGACATGAATCCGACTATGTTAATAGACACCCCTGTTGCCGGTATCTCATAATGTTACCTCAACATTATGCCTCTCACACCAAGTGAGAACTCCTACCTTAAATTCCAAGATGTGATACAGAATGCACACATTATCCCCATAGAAAGACTAGCACAACCCAGAGAAATATCGCTACTACTATGCTATACCCATTTTTCCTGATGTGCCACATTTTAAAACCCTATATCCCATAGATAGCCAACCCGACGATCTACACAAAATTTGAGACACTATTGTGATCTCCAACCCATTTTCTGTATCATAATAAGAAAGAATCAACAAAAGGATTCCTGAACTTTCCTGAGAATATTCATGCTCATCCATGCTTCCTCAGTAGACTGCCATGCAATTAGTATGTTCTAAGTTACATTTTACCAAGTCCCACCCACAGGGTTTTCTGGAACATCCAATCAAAACATACAACACAGATAAACACTCCCACAATGACATCACAATCCCTCCTCTCTATCCTGGAGATAATTGGGAAGTAATCCAATTATCTCCAAGGACAGAGGCAAAACTCCATTAAGCACATGGCAATAAAAAGACAGTAAAATACAATAAAGGATACATTTATGACATAAAATACAGACATGCAACATATCCCCAGATAGCTTAGGTCTGAGCACACATTATTACTGAATGGCGCTCAGACCACACACATACAGGTAAATTGCCATGGAGCCAAAGTATTTTATTGCACAGTCATCTGGGTTAAATGAGTTCATTCAGTAAATCCGTGAATGTACCGGCCGCATGTGAACTGCAAACTGCTGCCATCCAGTGTTCAGTATGCGTAGCCTCAGCCACCCAGTATAGTCAGTTAACCATGGCTTCTAGGCGGTCAATTGGCGGTGCCTGCAAGCTAACCGCGGCTCCTAAGAGGCCAGTAGGGTAGCAGTACTTACCCTCTCCAGGGGCCAGGCGAGGTCCTCCTTCTCCGCCGCACACTGTCCTGAAACTGCGCGCGGCTCATCTGACGGGAAGGTGTGCACTGACTGCGAGAAGCGGCCACGTGACGTGCCAGGCACTGGGAGTGCGCTGCACATAACGGGTGCGTTTTTAAAGGGACAGTGGAAGCAAAAAAAAATATAAAAAATCTCCCATTGGCCCATGTCATTCCACATTTCCCATCCACTCACGTTTTGGGGGCGTGGATATGACAAGGGCCAATCAAATTAAACTAATAGGTATTTATACACACCTTTCCCTTAACTCCCTGCCCTATCGTGGTTTCTGATTCAGATCCCTTTAGTGCTTACTTCGTGTAGTAGTGTTTTTTTTCGTGTTTGACCTTGGCTTTGTACCTGACTCAATTTTTCTCTTTATCCCTGCTTTGTCTTGTTTGCCAGTTTCCTGACTCCTGTGTACCAGACCTTGGCTAGTTCTTGTTTAGGCTGTCTCTCTGTTCCCTTGACCTTGGCTCGTTCTTGACTCTGTCTTTTCCTGTCCACGTCAAAGTTCGGCCATGCTAAGGTCCGGTAAGACTTATATTGTTGTCTCTCGTTGGACTATTCTTACGTGTTGGGGTATACTACCATGACAAATAGACGGCTGTTTGTTCGGTAGATAGAATCTACCGAACACCCGGGTAGAAATACATGAATAGACCTTTCTGCCTAGGAAAATAAAGTATTTAAATGCAGGTCCATAGTCAAAAGGCAGCAGGCAGGCAACCAGGCTCCTCTAATGCACAGTGGCGAGATTGGTCTCGTCACATGGCGTATATCCCCTCAGGCCCTGCATTGAATATTCCCTAATACATCCAAATAATGTTGGAGGTGCGGGGAACACATAGGCAATACAGCTCACATTTGGTGTTTTTGCCATAAAAACCAACCATATTGGGCTTCTATTTCATTTTAACTCATCTCTTTCACTTGCTCCCCAACAACAACCACTTGCAAGATCTCTGATACCCCATCTAATGAAGGCAGCCAAGGCACTGATTCCCTAACACTCGATTTCAACTGTAACACCCTCTGTAAAAGAATGGATGGAAAAAGTAAAGTCCATTAGGTGATGGAGTGTCAGGATTACAGTTGATCCAGCACGCAGAATTGTGTCACACCTAGGACTAAGGGTAACGTCTAACCGGACCTTGGAATGGCCGGACTTAACGTACCTAAAAAAGGTCAATATACTAGCCGAGGTTAGGGACACAGAATGGGACAAAGCAATAAGGGAAAGCCAATAGTCAAGGATACCAGAAGTCAGGGAAGTCAAAATGAAGTCAATAACCAGAAACATACGATCATGAACACACTCTCGTATAACCATCTAAGGGAAACAATGACAGAGCAATGAGAAAAGTAAAAATTTGTTTAAATAAGCCTCCTAAAGATCCGATTGGCCGTAACTGGCCTTTGACCCCAGAACGTGCGTCTTTTGCGTGTCATCACACGCACATTGACGTCGGCGGACGTGGGGCTATAGAATGGCATGTATCCACAGCGGCCAGAGTCCACCAACATGTTGCAGGAGTCCGGTATACTGGCGCTGGGCTGCTGAGCAGCACTTCCGTTATTGCCAGGATATCACAAGGTGAGGATGAATGTGACATTAACCCCTACCTGAAGACTGCCCACCAGGCGGGCAGTACCAGATTTGAGATGAAACTTGGCGTGGAAAGAACGAATCTTGCGGCCAGCATGAATGTTGGAAGCCGGAACCCAAGAACGCTCGGCAGGCCCATACCCCCTCCAATCAACTAAATACTGTAAGGAACCACAAGAAAACCTGGTATCAATTTATGGAGGAAACTTCATACTCCTCCTGTCCAGAAACAACTAATGGAGGAGGGGTAACACTTGGGACAGTATACCTATTGCAAATAAGAGGTTTGAGTAAGGAAACATGAAATGTATTAGGAATACGTAAGGAGGCAGGATGTGCCAGAGAATAGGAAACAGGGTTAATTCTCCGAATGATACAAAATGGACCAAGGAATCTGGGGGCAAACTTCATGCTAGGAACTTTCAGTTTTATGTTGCGTGATGATAACCACACCCACCTGGTTAACAGTGCTGGCACCCTGTCGTTTATCAGCATGAAATTTGAAACGAGCAGCCGCAGTAGAGAGCGCAGTGAACTTTGGTCCAAGTCTCACGAATAGAAGCGAGGTGATCATCCAGAGCAGGGATAGCTGTTTCAGAGAAAACAGCCAGTAGGATGATGACTGTTATTGACAAAGAATGGACTATGTCCAGAAGAGTCATGTGTAGTATTGTTCCTGGCAAACTCGGCCCAGGGCAACAATTTGGACCAGTTATCTTATGTGCTTTTCACAAAACAAGGTAAATACAATTCCAATGATTGGTTAGCCCTCTCAGGCGTGCAATTGGTTTTGGGATGGGAAAAGAGTGACAATTCAATACCCAACTGTTAATTAAAAAGCCCTCCAAAATCCAGACACAAACTGAGAGCCCCTGTCAGACACAATATTTTGAAGAATACCATGTAGTCTGACAATGTCTCGTATAAAAATAAGATCCAGTTCCCGTGAGAATGGCAATTTTTTTGAGTGGCATAAAATGAGCAATCGTGGAAAAATGGTCAATCACCATAAGGATTGTGGTATAGCCATTTGAACTTGGAAGTTCCACGATGAAATACACGGACAAATGGGACCATGGAACACTAGGTACAGGAAGTGGATGTAATAATCCACATGAAAGTTTATGAGGAACCTTAGAAACTGCACATACTGAACAGGACTGCACATATTCCTTGACATGTTTCCTGAGTGAATGCCACCAAAATGATCTCAAGATAGCGGATATGGACTAAGGATACCAGAAGTCAGGGAAGTCAAAACGAAGTCAATAACCAGAAACATACGATCAGGAACACACTCTCGGATAACCATCTAAGGGAAATGCCTTGATGCCCAGCAGTCACATTGTTGTGGAACACCCTCGTTACCTGGTCTCTTTCAATCAACGGAACAATTTTTTAGAGGTTTATTGCAAGGTGCCTGGGATTGATCCCCCATGATAGCACCAAGCAGAGTAAGTAGAGGAAGAACAGTGGAAGCAATGATACTCAGGTGGAATAGGGGATGTCTCCTGTTCGTACTCCAATTCAATGTCAAACTGTCTAGATAAGGCGTCAGCTTTAACAGTTTTGGGACCAGGTCTGTAAGTTAAAATAAAATTAAAGCGAGATAAGAACAAAGACCATCTAGCCTATCAAGAAGACTGTCGTTTAGCATCATCTATATATGCCAAAATCTTTGTGGTCAGTTATGATCAAATATTATATCCCAAAAACTGAACCTCATGCTGATCAAATATGCATTTCTCAAGTTTACAATAAAGTCAATTATCAAGCAATGTTTGTAATACTTGTTTAACATGTTCATGAAGAGTCTGGAGGTCTGGGGAATAAATAAGGATATCATCCAGGTTAACTAGAACAAATGAATAGCTATAGTCCCTGAGTACATTGTTCATAAAATCCTGAAATACGGCCGGAGCATTGCATAACCCGAAGGGCATGACCAGGTACTCATAGTGCCCACTTCTAGTGTTAAATGCCATTTTCCACTCATGATCTTCCTTATTTCTTACCAAATTGTACGCACTCCTGAGGTCAAGTTTAGTAAATATGTTAGCACCCTGGAGTCTGTCAAACAATTAGTAGATGAGGGGAATGGGAAGGCATTTTTTATGGTGATCTTGTTTAATGCCCTGTAATCAATGTATGGGCGTAATTCTCCATTTTTCTTTTTATACAAAAAAGAACCCTGCACTAGCAGGCAAGGATAATTTACGTATGTGGCCCTTACTTAGGAAATTTCTGATAAACTCATCCATGATTCTCTCCTGTGGAGATAAGGCATTTATTTCCCCCCTATGGGGCATAGCGCCAGGTTGCAGATCTTTGGAGCAATCATATAATCTGTGAGGAGGTCTGAGGTGTAGTGGGCAAATTAACGATGCCCACTGTCTTGGTAATGGGTAACATCTCTCTATACAGTCTTTATCCCATTCCAGTATTTCCCCCTTTGCCCAGTCAATATGAGGATTGTTCTTAATGAGCCAAGGAAATCCTAATATGATGGGACAAGAAGGAGAAGCAATTATCTAGAATGTTATGTTTTCCTTGTGTAAAGCTCGTATGGAAATGTTAATAGGCATGGTTTCGTGGGTAATCAAAGGTTGAGAGAGAGGTCTCCCGTCAATAGCCTCAACGGAGGTGATAGGTATGGAGTGTTTTTTTTTTTTTTTTTTCACAAAATGCATGTCCATAAAGTTTCCTGCAGCACCTGAGTCCATCAGTGCTTTGCATGAAAAGCTTTTCTTGTTGCAAAGGGCCATGATGTCAAGGATAAATCTATTTTGGTTATTACCAGAGGACGTATTCATGGGTGGGACAAGCACTTCTCATATCTTTTTTCTATCACCGTATAAACACAGACCCTCCTTTCTCCTATACTGTTTCTCTGCCACTGACAGTCTAGTGACCCCTAACTGCATAGGTTCAGGTTCTGACTTTACAGAAGAAGTCAGGGATAGTAGGTTTGGAGAAACGAGGTGCCAGTGACATAGCCATACGTCTGGTTCTATTTCTAGTAATTTCCCTGGTCCTAAATCTGTTATCAATCTGCATCACATATGTGATGAACTCATTTAACCTAGGTAGATTTTTGGTAGTAATTTCATCAAGAATTGCCTTGGATAATCCTTATTTAAATGCAGAGATCAAACCGCTATTAGTCCAGTCTACCTCAGAAGCCAAGGTGCGAAATGCTATGGCATAATCTGAGATAGACCGGTTCTCTTGTTTGATACACATTAGGGCAGTGGAAGCATCTTCCCTGCCTAATGGTTCAAATGTTAATTTAAATTCCAAAAGGAATTCCTGGTAGTTATAAGCAATACTCATTACTCTTCCATATTGGATTCGCCCAAGTTAAGGCTTTACCTTTAAGCTGGTTCATCAAGTACCCAATCTTAGTTCTATCTGTGGGAAAAGATCCCGGTGAAGCCTCAAAGTGGTACTCAATTTGACTGAGAAATCTCTGGCATTCTTGAATATTCCTATCAAAATGCGGGAGTGGAGATAATGAGATAGTAGGTGCCTTATATACTATATGTGGAGGTATATTAGGCAGAGGTGAGATACTCGGAGGGACCTCAGGCTGTAAATGAGCCATCCAAGTAAGAAGCGTACTGAAAGCCTGGGCAAACTGATCCATATGGTGATCATTCTCTTCTAGCTTTCTTTCGAAAGCCTCCATGTGCTGACAACTTTGCAGAATCTATGGCCATGTCGTAATATCAGGATTACAGTTGATCCAGCTTGCAGAATGGCCGGACTTAACATACCTAAGAAAAGTCAATATATTAGCTAAGATCAGGGACACCGAATGGGACACAGCGAAAAGGGAAAGCCAATAGTCAAGGATACCAGAAGTCAGGGAAGTCAAAACGAAGCCAAAGTCAATACCAGAAACACACTCTCGGATAACCAACTAAGGGAAACCATGACAGGGCAATGAGAAAAAGTAAAAATTATTTTAAAGGACCACTATAGGCACCCAGACCACTTCAGCCTAATGAAGTGGTCTGGGTGACAGATCCAGCTAGGTTTAACCCTTTTTGCTGTAAACATAGTTTCAGAGAAACTGCTATGTTTACCTATGGGTTAATCCAGCCTCTAGAGGCGCTTCTCACTGTGATTTTCTTGCCCGCATGAGCATTTAGCCAGGGACGTCAGAAGAGAGAGAGCGAGCGCGAGAGAGCTAAAAACAGCCAAAGTAATAAATTTTCATCTGTTTTACTATTCTATTGCTATTGATTTTTCATGTGCATAATTACTGACTTCAATTTAATGCATCTTAGTTCCCTATGCAATCTACGAGAAGTACAATAAGATAAATACCCATTAGAAAAATAATGAATGGAATAAAGATGCTCACCCTTTCATACATAAATTAAAGGGACACTATAGTCACCAAAACAACATTAGCTTAATAAAGCAGTTTGGGTGTGTATATCATGTTCCTCAGTGGCGTACACATGACCCATGGGGCCCCGGTGCGAAAATTGATCCGTGGCCCCCCCCCCCCGCGGTTACTCGGCGCGGGTTGGGGCCGCAACACATGGCGGCGGGCACCTGGTCACAGGGGTTGCAGGGCTGCGACCCCGCGACCGCGGTATGCACACACACTTAAAGGACCACTACAGACACCCAGATCACATCAGCTCAATGAAGTGGTCTGGGTGCCAGGTCCCTCTAGTTTTAACCCTGCAGCTGAAAACATAGCCGTTTCAGAGAAACGGCTATGTTTCACTGAGGGTTAATCCAGCCTCTAGTAGCTGTCTCATTGACAGCCGCTAGTGGAGCTTCAGCGATTCTCACTGTGAAAATCACAGTGAGAAGACACTGAACGTCCATAGGAAAGCATTGAGTAATGCTTTCCTATCGGCGGTTTAAATGCGCGCGCGCCTCTTGCCGCGCATGTGCATTCGGAGCTGAGAGGAGGAGGGATCCCCAGCGCCAAGGGAGTCCGACGCTGGAGAAAGGTAAATGCTGAAGACACACACACACACACTCTCACGAACAGACGCATACACACTAGCTAACAGACACACACATTTACTGACAGAGACACACTCAGTGACAGACATACATACACACTCACAAAACATACACTTTCACTGACAAACACACACTCACTAACAGACACACACACAGTAACACACTCACTAGCAGACACACTCACTGACACACACACACACATTTTTTAAAAAATTTAATCCCCCCCAGCCTCCTTACCTTTTGGAGTGCTGGGGGATTCCCTGGGGTCCAGTGGTGCCGCTGAGCGGGCGGGCTGGCTATCTGGGTGGCCGGTGCGCGAGGGAGCACGTCATCTTCCGGCTCCGGTATCAGTGCGGCGCGCGAGGGAGCTGAAGAGGAAGCACTGAGTGCTCCCTCGCGCACCGGCCACCCAGATAGCCAGCCCGCCGGGGTCAGCAGGGCCAGCCTCGGGGGGCCCTGGGGTGGCCGGCTCCTGGGCCCCCCAGGGGAAGAGGCTGGCCCTGTGGGTACATACCAGGTCGCAGGGGCGGCCGGGCCCCCTGGTGGGCCGGGCCCGGTCGCAGCCGCGACCCCTGCGACCCTGGTATGTACGCCACTGATGTTCCTGCAGTGTCACTGTTCAATTCTAATACTTCCTGTAAAAGGTCATCTAATGTTTACACTTCCTGTATTGCAAATTCTGCTTAATTTAGCATTACTTAACTTCTGCTCTGTTAATAGCCTGCTAGACCTTACAGGAGTCTCCTGTATGTAATTAAAGTTACATTTTAAGAGCAGAAGATAAAAACTTCTAAAGCAAGTTAACGTGTGAATGAAAATGATTTTTTTTTTTCATGCAGGCTGTGCTAGCCACAGCCAGGGGAGATGTGATTAGGGCTGCATAAACAGAAACAAAAGTGATTTAACTCCTAAATGGCAGAGAAGTGAACAGTGACACTGCAGGGGCATGATCTATATATCAAAACTGCTTCATTAAGCTAAATTTGCTTTGGTGACTATATGCCCCTTTAAGGGAGGACATAACTTTAGCCTCTCTTCTCATACTCCCACTGAAATCCATAAGGCAGTGAAATATATTTAATGAACTTTAAATATTTAATGTGTTGTAGGATTGTCATTGTGATATGAATATTATAAGTTTTATTCAAAGTACTTCCAGAACAGACACGGAGGGGCCATACATAGGCCTATATTAACAGACTGTAATTGTATACACATATGGTTCTTGTTAAGAATGATGGATGGAGACCTGTTGATATTCGCCTTTGACTTAAGCTTTGTAAGCCAGACTACCTGTGAAGTCTCACATTGCTAAAGGCATTTAATCATGTATATAGCATTTCTTTGTGTAACTTATATTTTAAATATAACGTATGGCTTTAATCATAGATTTCAAATGATGCTAAGTCACTCCCCTTTTTCTGTGATAAGCCACTTATTTTATAGTAAGGCAACCTTGTGTATACGCCCCTATGTAACTGAATTTTTAACCTATAAAACTGATTGTAGCCAAGATTTTGTGGCTAATAACTTTAACATCAAAAATGGATACCATCTTGAACATTGCTCTGTATTGGACAAAGACTATTATTTGCATATGTTATAACCGGATGATGTGTATGTTTGAATAAACATAAGTTTTAGTTGCAAGACACTGATTCGATTTGTTAAGAATACTGGTGTGAAAAACAAACATCTCAAGAAAAGCCCATTTTCTACATGTGGGATGTTTAATAACTAAACTATGGGCAGCTAAAGTCATCCACCCTTTTCTTCTCCATTCCTTTATTCCATCAGCAACATTTGGTTAAAATGCTTTCTAACTATTAAAATTAATTTTACCTGAATCATGGACTGTAACTCCTGCATCATGGTTTTCAACATTTCATTTTCCCGCTCTAGTTCCAACATCTGTTCCTTTTTTGGTCGATTCTCTATGTCATTTTTCAATTTAAGGGACTGATTTCTTTCCAGTTTACACTCCTCTTCAACTTTATTTAAATGATGTTTGAGACGATCAATCTATAGTCAATTAGGATAACATATTATAGATATTAATCAGAAGTATTGGTACCATTTTTACTATTGATAAATTTGCTAAAATCATGAATTACTCCACTGTTTAGGCTTAGTGCATTCTAAGCAGCTACCTCGAGTGCTTCTCCTATTTAGCCTCATTTTACAACATACATATGAAAAATATTAGGTTTCAACTTATTCATGATTAAAAATAAAAAAAAAACTGTTTGAAATCCAAGGTTATTAGAAAGCCAATTGTGCACTCACAGGATTTTAGCAAGATTGCACTTTAAAAGGTGCCTCCCAGCACATCAAGTGAAGGCACATTTAAAGCATAATCTTGCTAAAATCTTGTGAGTACACAATTGGCTTTCTAATAACCTTTGATTTAAAAACAGTACCATGTTATGGTTGTTATTTATTTTTTACTTAGAAATAAGCTAAAGCTCCATTTTATTGTACAAAAGTGTATATGTTCCAAATAAATATACTCCACAATATTTCACATTGAGTATTCTAGTGTGGCAGAGCTCCAGTACTCCGACCGAATACCTCCGCCAAGTCTGCTTCCTCGTAGCCATCAGGAACTCTGGAGCACTTCAGACCCAGTCTCCGAGGTTTGACTGGGATCACTGAGGGCCTTTTCTACCCTGGACCAAACACCAGACGACACTTGGTGAAGGTTAAAACAGCAACTAACTTTAATAGACATAACACACATTTAAGCCCCCAACAGCTTCATTTACATACAATAGGGTACATAAGGCACTATAGCACAGGAAGAATTTGTTGGCTCTTTATAAATAACATAATAATAATAATAATAATAATAATAAGGGTCAGAAAATAGAACTGATTGCATGAGGCTTATGTGAGATTGAGAAGGGACAGAGCAGCTAGTTTAAACTAGTCTGGCAAGGTCCCTGGGACAATGCCATGCTGGGGAAACAATAGGACAGGAAAAAGGGGGAAGGTGACAGTGACCAAAACACAGTGTCTGTCTTCCATCCCCAGTGACAGTTAATACTGTCACATCTAGACCTAATAACATTGATATATTACCACAGGTTTCTGCTGACATTATCATTGTAGGGGTGTATTACAAGAATTAATTAACAGATAGGGAAAAGCCCACATTTTCAAAAAGCTTTACTATAAAATCTATTTAAGTTTTCTGGCTTTTTGCTTGTATAATATACAGATGATATTTTCCACTCTTTAACTTAAAACCAACTTAAGTGTACAATGACAGGTTATTAATTTATTCTGCATTTTATCAAATCAATTAACTAAGTAGCATTAATAACCGTTTTACTACAGCTTGGTGTAGTTGTTCTGGTGTCTATAGCCTGTCCCTGCAGGCTTTTCAGTGTAAACAGTTCAGTGAAAAGGCAGGGTTTACATTGCGGATTAGTAACACCTCTAGTGACAGTCACTCAGACGGCCATTAGAGTGCCCAGGGTCACTGCTGCACAGTGTGCAGCACCCACGTTTGAGTCTCTCCAAGCTCTGCTTGGAGGCGCTGAATGTTCATCATAGAGATTTATTAATTCAATGCATCTCTATGAGGATTTGCAAGCTGTGCATGCACGAAATCCTCCCAATGCTTTCCTAAGGGAAAGCATTGGCATAGCGGAGATCATAAAATTCATAATCTCAGCTATGGAGGTGGGGATCAGCCATGGGGAAACTGGTGAATATAAACACCTTCACAAATGCTCTGACAGGCTCACACACTCACAACATGCTTGCACGCACACACATACACACACTCACAATCTGACAGGCTCACACACACCACTGGCATACATACTATGGGGTGCAGCTGTGACCAGGGGGCCCAGGAGCTGGCCACCTCAGGGCCCGCAGAGGCTGGCAGTGGCATCAGTCTGTGGGAGAGCGCCTCTAGCGGCTGTCAGTGAGACATCTACTAGAGGCTGGATTAACCCTGAGGGAAACATAGCAGTTTCTCTGAAACTGCTATGTTTTCAGCTGCAGGGTTAAAACTAGAGGGACCTGGCACCCAGACCACTTAATTGAGCTGAAGTGGTCTGGGTGCCTATAGTGGTCCTTTAAGTGTATGCGTATCTGCATGAACTGCGTACATACCATGGTTGCAGGGGTCACAGCCCTGCGACCCCTTCGACCAGGTGCCCGCCGCCATGTGTTGCTGCCCCGGCCTGCACAGTGTAAGCGCTGGGGGGCCCACGGATCAGTTTTCGCACCGGGACTCCATGGATCGTGTGTACGCCACTAACACACACACACATAAACACACACTGACTCTTCCTGCAGCTCCTCTGTACTCCCTTGCGCTCCCTGTAGTGATGTCGGGACTGGAGTGACATATTTCAGCTCCCAGCATCATTAAACAGCATGAGGGAGCAGAGAGGAACTGCGAGAAGAGTACTGCTCTCTTGCGCGCCTCCATGCTTATCAGGGCAGGCAGCTGCCTCCTTGCTTCCCAGGGTGGGCTGCTCCAATATTCCATGTGGCAAGTTCCAGTCACCAGAAAGAAATTTCTAGTTGCTATGGCGACCTGGGATTTGTCGAGCCCTGCCATACTGAATAACAGGGAAAAGATCCCCACTGAAAGAGAGGGAAAGAGAGGGAAAGAGAGGGAAAGAGAGGGAAAGAGAGGGAAAGAGAGGGAAAGAGAGGGAAAGAGAGGGAAAGAGAGGGAAAGAGAGGGAAAGAGTCTAACAACAGGAAACATGTCACCTTGCACACAGGTTCCACTTTGCGATCCAGTCACTAATCCAGGAGGTGCTCCATCCATACGGACACCACCAATCCATGTGAGTACCAAGTAAACATAAAACACGGGCAGCACTCAAGGAAAAAAAAAAACGGTGAAAGTATTTATATAGGGGTAAGCCATCCCCATAATCAAGTGATGTTTTGGCTCTTCAGTGCCTTAATAATGCTAGTGAGTGTGTGTCTGACAGGGAATGTGTGTGTAGACAAAAGAGGGAATTGGGGGCACACTTGGAACATGCATTTCTCAGCAGTTGTGCCGTAGATGCCACAATTTATACAAAATACAGATTAAGGAACTGTGCATACACAAACATACAATTTGATGGGGGTACACTAATTTTATATGATGTTTTGATAAACAGCCTTGTATCTCAACCACTGGAATGCGCACCCCATGCATTCCAGTGGTTGAGAAACAAGGTTGTTTATTAAACATCATATAAAATTAGTAAATCATCAATTTATTAATAATTTGTCCATATTGTCAGCTACATTGCCATATGATTTGAAATACATACAGCAAACAATTGCATACAACTTAATTCAGAAGTGCATCTCACCTCAAGTTGCAGGTCTCGACTCCTCATCACAGCCATGTTTTTCTCCTCGCTTAACTGGGCGTATCTCATTGCTAAGTTATAATTATCATCCTTTACTTTAATTAGTTCATCATTGTAATTATTTCTCTCTTCTTTCATTTTGTTATATCTTTCTTGAAATGTTAAAAGTTCCAAGTTAACTAACTTTAAGTGCTTTTTTTCATCTTCCAGTTGTCTTGAGTTGGCCACAAGTTCACATTTCTGTATTTCTTTTGTCTTGAGCTGTTGTTGAAGTTTGATCACTTCATTCATCAGAAACTGTGTAAGACCCTCGTGTCCCTCCTCAACTACAATTAAAATAACTCATGTAGTGTTAAAACAATGACACAACTTACTACAGTACATTTAAAATAACAAAATAAAATGTATTAACCCCTTAAGGACTGAGGCAGTTGTACAAGTTGTGATCAAAACAAAAAGTAAACAAAACCTTGAATTTGCGCTATATGCCTATTCAGGCGTAATTCACATCTTTCATATTATGTGCACCCACACTTATATATAATTTTGTTCAGGAGAAACATGGCTTTCATGTCACATCAAATATTTGATCAATTATCTCCCAGGACAGAGGCAAATCGCCATTATGCACGTGGGGATACTAAAATAAGAATTACTATTAAAATACACTATGTCACACAAGTTACAATAAAACTATACATTTAACATATCCCCAGATAGTTTAGGTCTGAGCGCATATTATTAAGCGAATGTCGCTCAGACCACAAGAATACAGTTTAATCGCCATGGAGCCAAAGTCTTCACAAAATCAGTTCTCATACGAATGAGCTCCATGGAATTCCTATCTGAGGTATAGTGCAGTCAGGTACAACTACCAAATACCGGGCCGTTCGTGCACTTCCACCAAACAAGAAGGGAGGTCGGCGGCTTCAGCGGTGTTCGCGCCAAACTGTGTCCATTTTTAGTTCCATGAGTTAAGCGTCGAACACCACTGTGCGTTCTAGTGTTTAAAATGGCCGCGACCTCGTGTTCATTATACGAATGGCGGCCACCCAGTATTCGTCAATTAATCTGCGGTTAACTGCAGCTTCTGGGGGCAGAAAAGCACGAATAAGTCTTTTCTGCAGGGGAAACAATGTCTTTTAACATGTGGCCATAATCCAAAGGCAGCAGGCGAGCAACCAGGCTTCTCCAATGCAATGTGGCGAGATTGCTCTCGTCACACTAAACGTTCTTATTTTCTGGGTGTTAATCTGCTAAATAGTACATTTGCGGCCTGCGGTGCACTTCATATGTGAGAGTCAAATAGAAGTGTCAAATACTGCTGTCACATTGCAATTTTAAAACTTAAAATTTTTGGTTGCTAAACTGCTAAATAGTATTTTAGTGTGGTGCACTTCATATCTGAGAGTCAAATAGAAGCGTCTAATAGTGTGCTTACAGCGCACTTGTAAAAATTCTAAATTTTCTGGGTGCTAATCTGCTAAATAGTACATTTTGGGGCCTGCTCTTCATATCTACAAGTGCTTTTCAGATGTCATATTGTGAATTACCAATTTTTGTGTAGCCTGATTTTTTTGAAAAATAAGTGTTATTGTGATCGCTTCATATACAGAAGCATGAATATACATTTCTATATTGTGTAAAGACAAAACTACAAAGTTAAAAACCAAACACCAAAACTACGTGCCAGACAATCTACCTGTGCATGGCTAGTGTAATACAATAAGTCTACATCTTAAAAATGCAATAACCCACAGAAGATGGGCGAGAATTTTTTTTGCAAATGGAACTTTGATTCGAATTTACTACATCGGTCACTTGTAATATTGTTTCACACCTACAACACTTGTTATACAGATCTAAGTGATAGAAAACAGATTGATATTTTCTACACTAGAAACTACCAGATAACCAGCTGCTATATTTAAACCAGTGATCAATAGCAACAATATTGTAATTCTGGGGCAATAACCTCACAAGTCAAACTGAGAGGTCAGTTTATAGGGAAAACTGTGGCCTGGATACAATTCTAAAACAATTTCCATATGTCCTTTGCAGACCTTACATGCTGGAAAAACGCAGGTGACAACTGCTGTGGCTTTCTGCAGTGTGCATACCGGAAACGAGGGCAGGGTGGAAGATGTGGTGGATGATGAGGTCCTAAACCCCACATGGAATCAAGGTCATGCGAGTGACGTGTGCAGTTTAGAGGAAGAGGCGCTGGTCACACAGAGGCACCAGCACAAGAGGGAGCAGGGTGCAAAAGCGAGAATTGCCATGGTAGGTGCAAAAACTGGCATCGAAAGTTGATATGGATGACATCCGCATGCAAAGTCGCCGCCACGGGGATGTGCAATTTGACCAAGGTTGTCTAGAGTCAAAGTTCCTGCGCAACTATAATGTCAACAGCTACTCGGAACAGAGATGTCTTTTTTATATGTCCCAATATTTTGGGTGTACCCCAATTAATTATATATATACATATACACACACACACACACACACACACACACACAGTTGGCTTCCTCATCCTCCTCCCCCACAGCCACGGTCAATGCCTCCTCAACCTATGGGTCACTTAGTATAAACTAGGTACACATTAGCAGAGGCTTGTAAAGGCCTTTTCTCCATGCAGCAGGACTGCAATAAATGCACCGCAGGCCGCAAATGTTTCTTTTTTGTATGTCCCAGTATTTTGTAGACTACCAGTATTTTGCTTCCTCCTCCACCACCATAGTCACCGCCTCCTCAACCTATGGGTCACTTACAGTGGCATACACACAACCCAGGGGGCCCCGGTGCGAAAATTGATCCGTGGGCCCTCCCCTGCGCTTACTCTGCTCAGGCCGGGGCTGCAACACATGGCAGGCACCTGGTCGCAGTATGTGTCACGGGTGGCGGTATGGAAAACGGGACCCCTGTACGCCTGATATTCAGAGTTGGAGTCACAGTGTGGAGGTGGATTAGCAGGGTCTGGTGCAGGGTAACCGCACGCCCCCTGGTGTTGAGCACCAGCATTTGTGCAGCTACATACCAGAACCCTGATTCAGCTTATGCAGATCCCAGGAACTAGAAACAGGTAATTAAACAGACCTCCCAGGAGCTGAATAGGGAGGCTCTGCAGCAGGGATGTATCAGTACTGAAGCAAGGCAAGACTAGGAGAGCAAGGCACCATAAAAGAAAACAAAGACCAAACTAGGAGAACAAGGAAAGACTAGAGATAGGCACCATACATGAAAAGACAAAAACTAGGAGAACCCAGAACAGGACAGAAAGCAACCTAGAACATATACACAAGACATGAGGAAAACAAGAACATAACATGGGCATGACTGGACAGGACTGTACATGGACTGGGATTACAAGACAAAGTAAAACAAGACAAGAGATACAAGGTAAACAAGAGGAAACATAGTTAAGCACTAATTATGGAAAGTATGGGGATTTAGTTACATTATATGATCATACATTGCAGAAGCCTGCCAACAATGCCAATGTACCCCATATATGGCAGATCCTACTCTGCCTAATGTATGCTAAAACAGCCTCACTAAACCACAATATAGCACTTACCTGCAAGAAAATGCAGAGACATGAAACGCTGCTGCAGGTCCAAGCTGAAACAAAAGGAAAGTGGAAAACAAACGGGTGTGGCAACATAAAACAAACATTTAAGTGAATCCAAAAGACTGGGAAATCCAGGGACAGAATATAAGAATGAACTCAGAAACCCAGCAATAAAGAAAACCAGATATAGACCAGAAAACCAGAAAAACCAAGCAAGGACAGCAAAAAGAGTACTGGATAACAGAAGCCATTGCCAGAATGAGCCGCAGCGAGGAACAGGATGTGACAGTATGTACGCCAGTGCATGCAGATGCACACACACTTAAAGGTCCACTACAGACACCCAGATCACATCAGCTCAATGCATGCGCATTTGGAGCTGAGAGGCGGAACGGGACGGAGGGATCCCCAGCGCCAAGGGAGTCCGGCACTGGAGAAAGGTAAGTGCTGAAAGGGTTTTAAACATACACACTAGCTAACAGACACACACATTTACTGACAGAGACACACTCAGCGACGTACATACATACTCACTGACAGACACACATACACTCTCAATGACAAACACACCCTCACTAACAGACATCAAACAGACTCACTAACAGACACACACAGTAACACACTCACTGACACACAAACTAACACACACTGACACTCACTAGCAGTCACACTCAATAACAGACACACACAAACTAACACACACTGACACTCACTAGCAGACACGCTGTCAGGACTTATCTTTTCGACTCAGTTCTGACATTTCTGGTATGCGGAACTGTTCCCACCCCTTCTCTGACGCGGCTCTCTCAAGCTTTATAGGGAGACCGCGCCAGATTCAAAATTGCTTAGTGATTTCTGGTTGTTACTTCCGCAATCACATTGACGGCTAAACTCTTCACCGTTAATACTGTGTACCGAACCTTGGACTGTTTAAACGGATTCCTGCCTTCTCATCTCCCTTTGACCACGGACCGTGTATTGGATTTACCTGCTCTCTTTCTAATTATTGGTAACCGGACTGTTTGATGTTTAATCATCCTGCGGACTCAAACTAACCTGTCTTTGGAGGACAACTCCCAACAATCATAAGTATACAATTTGATACTATCTCTGAGTTCTTACTTTGCTAATGAAATGTTACCTGCTTGCTAAAATCTGCTGCTACTAAAATACTATTACAATTATTAATGCTTTATGTCTTCAACTAACAACCTGCAAAAGCCATGCTGCCTTAAAGCTACAGTAACCTTATTAATTAAAGGATTCTCATTTCACTCTCTATAATAAAAATAAGGAAATTTATAATCTGCAGTTGTGTTCCACATTTAAACCACTTGTGACATAACACACACTCAATAACAGACACACACAAACTAACACACTCACTGACACTCACTAGCAGACACACACACTCTAACACTAACACACACACACTCTAACACTAATACACATACACACACACTTGTTTTTTATTTTTATTTTAATTTAATCCCCCAGCCTCCTTACCTTTTGGGAGAGTTGAGGGGATTCCCTGGGGTCCAGTGGTGCTGCTGGGCGGCCGGTCACTGGGCGGTCTGGCGGATGCGCAAGGGAGCACTCTCCCTTGAGCACTCCCTGTACAGCTCCCTCACGCGCTGCGTACTGATTGCCGAAGCCAGAATATGATGTCAGCTCCCTCGCGTGCCCACCAGCCAGACAGACAGCCCAGTGACAAAATTAT